GCAATGAAATGACTCATTTGTTTAAAGTATTTAGAAAACTCTCTGAATGAACATTAATGCTTTTTAACTTAATGCATGTCTCCACTCCTGTTTGTGATATTCATGGACAGGGTTTTAAGGCATAGCCGTGGTCAGGAGGGCATTATGTGTAGAGGCCGAAGGGTGGCATCTCTGCTATTTGCAGATGATGTTGTTCTTTTGGCTGGATCACATGGATGCCTCCAGCGCGCACTGGAGCAGTTTGCAGCTGAATGTGAAGCGGTTGGTATGCGGATCAACACCTCCAAGTCTGAGTCCATGGTCTTAGCCCGGAAAAGGATGGCATGCCCACTCCAGGTAAGGGGAAAGGACTTGCCCCAGGTGGAGGAGTTTAAGTATCTCGGGGTCTTGTTCAGGAGTGATGGGAAGAGGGATCGTGAGATCGACCACAGGCTGGGACAGGCGGCAGCAGTAATGCAGTCAGTGTACCAGTGTAGTGGTGTAGTCTACATCCCGACCCTCACCTATGGTCATGAGCTATGGGTAATGACCGTAAGAATGAGATCACGAATACAAGCGGCGGAAATGAGCTTTCTTCGCAGGGTGGCGGGCTACACTCTATTTGATAGGGTGAGGAGCTCGGCCATCCGGGAGGAGCTCGAAGTAGAGCCGCTACTCCTCCGCATCGAGAGGAGCCAGCTGAGGTGGTTCGGGCATCTGATCCGGATGCCCCCTGGACGCCTCCCGGTGGGGGTGTACCAGGCACGGCCTACCGGGACAAGACCCCGGGGTCGTCCTAGGACGTGCTGGAGGGATTATATCTCCAGGTTGGCCTGGGAGCGGCTTGGGGTCCCCGGGAATGAGCTGGAGGAAGGTGCGGGGGACAGGGTCGTCTGGGATTCTCTGCTCTCCCAACTGCTACTGCGACTGGGCTAAGCGGTTAACGACGATGATGATGATGAACTTAATGCATCAACAATAAAAAATTAAACTCAACATTTTTTATAATTGATGTAGCCAACTATTTGTTACAGCCTAAATTGCATTAGCAAGAATCCTACCTTGCCAAAAACTGTCAAAAAGCAAACTGAAAGAGTGGCACAAAACATTGGGACGGAAACAAAATGTCAATTGCCACATGGGGTGCTGTAGAGTAACGTGAAATCTGTATCCTACACTGTTAATGTTATACTGAGGACTACACAAGAGAGATCACTAAAATATCTACTCAAACCTTTTGCTTTTCTTTGTCATATATTCTGTGTGTAAATGCTTTGACAGCAGCCTATACGTGAAGACATTTTTAGCAAATTTTCATCATCATCAGTGAGAGCTATAGTGGCAGCAAATCCTCCTTGACTGTAGCCTCTCACTCTCATACTTCTACATTACATTTTGTTTAAAAAAAAATGGAGTTTTCCACTTTACTACTGCTGCTGGTTTATCCACACTTCTCCTCTGGGAACATCTCTAACCAGAGCTACTGCGATATTTCAGTATGTTCTGAGATGTGATTCTTTGACCGCAGTTTTGGAAACCGCAGTTTTTTCACTTCTTTTATTTGAGTATTTATTTTCCTTTTTGTGAATTAAAGTGAATTATCTTCTTTCTAACCTGCTCAGAAATGTCTTCAGACATTTTTGTAAATGAGAAAGAAATGTGTGAGGCAATATGTATTTGGGTAATTGCTTGTGTGAATGTTAGTGTCTCTTTGAAAGGGAACATAATGTCAGCGAGTGTTAATGTCAGCAAATGTTAAGACAGGATGGATGTAGGAGTTAAAGGAGCAGTAGGTGCTCAAATGTAAAGACAAATTACACTTAGTGTTGGAGGCTATTGTGTAAATTTCTGTTAAAGATGTTTCCTGCTTCTCTCTGACACTGAAAATTGAAAACTTTTACTCAATGGCCGTTTTGACTTGAGATTGAATAAACGAGTGGTCTCCGACTTTAACACAGTACCGTAGGTCAAGATGACAGATTGCCATTACATTGTTAATGCCAAAACTGTAATGACACTTTACCTCTGTAGTATCCAGCAAGTTCAAAACACCTCAATCTTATTCAAGATATTTTAGGTTTTAAAGCGGAACAATGCCATCACATACTTCTTTTCTAACATTAAATTGGAAAATAGCATTATAAAGACATGATTTTGATGTCATCTTCAATGGATCTATGTTAACTAGTGCTCTTCTTGAGTGAAAAAAATGCTCTTATATTGGTGACATGCCCAACACTGCAGTTAGTGTAGTGTCATTGTGGTGCCTTGTGTAACCTGCTGTGAAATCATAAAAAATTCACTGACCAGGTTGTGGTCCACCAAATATTTGTGCCAAAGTTGCTGATCACTTGATGATTTTGTACCTGCCTAGGCCTGCCATCTCTGAGATATACACTTAGCAAAAATGGTTCTTTGGCATGTAATAACAGTGGAACCCTTTTCAGTAAAATACAGCACATTCTCCACCAATCTGAAGAAACATTTCATGATGCAAAGAACGCTTAATTCATGCAAAGGGTTCTTTGAGTGATCATGGCACCATTTTTTGACTAAAAAAACCGTTGAAGAACCATTTTTTTAAAAGTGTAGTTAAGGCCGGAAGTTTACATACATCTATGCTAAAGACATTCAACCTAAGTTTGTCACATTTCATTTTAAAACAACTGATTAGAGACACATTTATTTCTGCTTTAATTGACTATATCAAAAGTTTACATACACCAAATTTAATGTATCTTAAAGCAGTCAAGAAGTTTCCATAAATCGATGTAAGGACTTTAAGAAGCTTCTGATTGGCCAGATGTCATAATTCATAGTTGGGAGTGCCCACACCTTTAGAGCCAGTGCCTCTTTCCCCTTGATACCATGGGAAAATTGAAGCAACTCAGGTAAGACCCCAGGAAAAAACTTAGGACCTACAGAAGTCTAGTTCCTCATTAGGAGGACAAGTAAGAAGCCCCTAATCCAGCTTTAGAGGGGCTAATTGGAAGAGATGGGAAAATTTGTGGTGGTTGTTTTGCGCCTGTTACCTTTTTTGCACTAATATATAAAGCTGTATATATATATATATATATATATATATATATAATATATATATATATAAAACCTTTGCTAGATTTTGATTTATAATGAATATTGGACCACTAGGTTTTTTCTGACTAGAAATGACATAAGCGAGTGACAAAAGACTGTAAGACATTGTGTTAGAGATTTAAATGAAAAAGTAACTATTTCTGTTTATTTCTACATTTGTAAAAATTTGTTTCAAATTTTTGAACCCTTTCTTCATAATCAATGGCAAATCCTTTATTTGCCATCACACCAAACAAACAGATCTTATAATCACTAGCAAGGTCTTTGCATCCACTGGGATTTTGGATTGTTCATCTTTTGTTAAAATCTCCAGGTCTTTGAGATTGGAAGGCTTCCTTGCCATCACTCTAGTCTCTAGTTACCTCTACAGGTTTCTCGATGGGATTCAGGTCTGTTCTCTGGCTGGGCCACTCCAAAATGCTGCTAATGTTTTCTCTTAACAATTTCTTGATCACTTTGGCTACATGTTTAAGATCACAATCTTGTGGGAAGATCCAGTGCTGCCAAAGGCCAAGATTTTCTGCAGACTGCCTGATGTTTTCCTCCAGAATCATAATGTCGTCCTCTTTTCTCTTGATGCTGTTTACTTTGACAAGGCTGCCTGGTCCATTGACTGAAAAACACCCCCCAAAGCATTACATTCCTGCCACCATACTTGATCATGGGGATGGCATTCTTGGGGTTAAATGCCTCTCCTTTAATCCACCAAATGAAAGCCTGTTTGACATGCCTGTTTCCAAACAACGCATCCAACCACAGAATTGATAACCAAAAGCTTTAGTCTTTGTACAGGTGAGCTTTTCTGTGCCCGTCTTGGAGAAGTGGAGTCCTCCTTGGTCGGCGTCCATGGACCAGCTTTGTGAAGTGTCTGCTGGAGTGTCTGCCTTGAGATATTGGTACCAGAATTGTTCTGATTAATCAGGATGGCCTTGGTGGTGATCCTTGGATTCTTCTTGGTCTCTTGCACTACCATTCTTGCCAGTGGAGGTATCACTTTTGGCTTTCTACAACACCCTTTCATATTTTTCCCAATGTGGAACTCTTTGTACTTTTTGATCATGCTTTGCACTGTGGGACAACTGGAATCATCATAACCACTTTAAATTGTCTAATTTGGCTAATCAGCTATGTTGCTTGCATGTTAGCTTACTGGGTGATGTGAAACAATCCTGTTCTGCATTCATACACTCACTAAAATATCTATGCTTTACAGACTCATGTGCAGAGCTAAGCTAAGCTCTCGTAAGAGTATGAACTGATGCATAAGCTATGATGCTTACTATAGATGAACACCAACAATTAGTTTTTCTGACAGAAAATAATATTTTACACTTTTTGTACACTCACCACATGTCCATTGCAGAGAATCATGTGTAGATTTAAACAAAGCTTATATTTTTCCTCTGGTGAGTGAGAAAATATTTGCACAAACATTAATTCCTAACAAGTTTAAAACTGTGTCTGTGATAATCAATCTGTTAGTATGTGCAAGCAGGATCAGGTTAGGGTTTCAAATTTAGCAGCACGAGTTGTTCCTGGTTGGGTTGGGTAAGGGTGAGTTTCAGGCTTGAATTTCATGCCCGTGCTGACCGCCAGGCTACTCCACTGTATCAGACATAAGACAGGCAAAATGCTTTTCAGTCAATCCAACACAATACATCATTAAACAGGCATTAGTATTTATTACTGCACCCTTTGCTTTTGATTGGAGGACAGCAAGTGGACAGTGAGAGGTCAAATTGAGAGTGTGATTGCATAGTGGGAAGAGACTGCACAACTGACAAGCATGTGTACAAGCATATACTGTATAAACCAAAGCATGTTGCGTATTGTATCCATGTGTAGAAATGTAGTGTGAGAGATGTGTGTGTGTGTGTGTGTGTGTGTGTGTGTGTTGAACATGTAAAAGTGCAATAATGGCTGGGTCATTTAGGCATGTTCTTCTGCTCCATTTCCCTCAGAGCCTTTTGCAGCTTCTGGTTTATTATATTCCTCTCAGTCCATCTCACTGTAGAGGAAACAAGGAAAGAGGACAGTGAGGGCTTGTGTTCTTTAAATATCTGGTTATTCTTCTTCAAAGATGTGTTGCGTGAGGAACAAAATATAGTTACTCTAAGCATTCAAAACAAATAAGCAGCAGACAAAAGACAAACTATTCAAATACTATAGCAAAACAGTTCTAGACAATACACTATAGTTATGTAAATATCAAGCAAGGTACAGCAGAGACCAAAGAGTGGACAATGGAGTGGTCAGTCCATAGTAGGTATAGCAGCATGTATTATTATCAGCCTGCTGATAATTAGTAATAGTAATAGTCTTTACCACAATGAAACACATGATTTTGTGTAGTTATTCATGATTAATCACATTTGCCTTAGTTGCTTATATTTGTTTAAAAAAAAGTTTTTTTTAACTTTAAAAAGCACTACATTTTGCTATGAGTGGACCAAATCAGTTTTATCAGAATGTACTGCTTTCTATAATTCAATGACATTACTTCACATGAACCAGAACATGTAAATCATGTGAACAGAGGGCTAACAGGGTGAAAACAGGATGAGCACAGTTTCCAATTTTCATCACCATCCAGTGAGAGCTACAGGGGCAGTAAATCCTCCACAACTGTAGCCTCTCATTCTCATACCACTATATTACATTTTGCTTAGAAACGTATTACTTTTCCACTTTACAATTGCTGCTGGTTGATTTATCCATAGTTGCACCATGGGCACTGTCCACTGTAGCCTGCTAAAGCTATTCTTCAGTGCTAACATTAATGCATCAGCACTGCGTTTTGCTTATTTGCTTTGGTGTTATCAAGAGAGCCAACATTGGAACTTGCTATTTAAACACTGTATTTGAATGAGAGGGCTGCTTTTGGGTAGTCATAGCAACAAATCATGAGCAGCTGGGTTTCAGAGCAGAGCTATGGATTCTTCAAGGTGTCAAACCAGGAAAATGTGTTAATGGCATGAAACATAAATAAGGGCATTAATAATGTCAAAGTGCTATTATAGCATTAAAGTGTTAGTAATAACGTGTTAACGTTGAAACTGCAAACTTACATTTAAACACAAAAAACTGAGCTAGTGTTAGGTGAAAGTGTCGCTCACTCACTCATATCATCAGTTCTGCGGCCATACCAGCATTGTGGATCAGGGGGCGGAGACTGCAGAGAATAATTGATGTAAGAGTCTTTAATCAGGGAGGACCACGCTATAGGGGCTCCTACAATAGAGAAAATATAAGAGAAACTATTTTGTGCTGATTGGTGCCATTTTTAGATAAGATAAGATAGTCCTTTATTAGTCCCATAACATAGATATTTTAAGTGCTACAGCAGCAACTGGATAGCAAGACACTCAAAAAAAGAAGTAACAAGAACAGAATTAGAGAATTCTTTGTTAAGAAAGAGTCAAGAGTCACTGGAGAGTCATAAAATATCTCCGCTGTGCAGAAAGTGTAAAAACAAGTGCTTCAGTAAAGGAAGACATTATAATGCACTTAACAAACCAGTAGCTGATCATTAATTAGCTGTTTATTACTATATTATTAAGGAACAACTAGGGTGAATTAAGCATTTTCCAGAGCACTTATATAAAGCTCTGAATGAACCTCATGAGGTAAGGAGTTATGATGCCTATTTTGTAGTTTCTCATCATTTGCTTTGAAAAAAGCACAGTTGAACTAAGAGGTTGAAAAGCTAATATTATTTATAATTTTCTTAATATTCATTTTATTATGATATCTAGCATGAAAAACACATGAATTAAACTACAACAGAATTTGAAATCTTTATTTTAATTGATCTTGACTTGGTCTCACTCATTCCTGGTCTTGGTCTTGACTCTCAGTAATGCTTAATAAGAGCAGTACAAGTGCTCTGAAAAATACCTAAAGCTGCACTGTGTAGGATTGAAGGATTTGGAGGCCTCTTTGTTGGAAATGTGTAACTGCATGCAACGTGCTGAAGAACATTTTGTAACATCAGTTGTGGGCCTAGCAAATGAATCTGATCTTTACAAGGGCATTGAGAGAGTATCGAAAAAGATCTCTGCCTAAATGTAATGAAGGACATGTCTTCTGAGGACGCAAGTGAATTATCTACTATTGTTATTATATCTTAAATCAGTATAATGCTGATTTTACACTTTAGACCTAAACATCAAGCCGGACCTCCTATCTGAGTCTCTGCGTGTAACGTTAATGCATAAAGATTTTTGTGACAAAACTCCTGCGAAATCTGACACAATGCCTCTGACTTCTAAATAATTATTTCAGGCTTTATGAGGCTTTATGACAAGTACATGTGTCCCCTATATTTTAGCGTGTTTTTTTTCCTCTTGACTCTGTAATGCTAAGGCTAAATTAGAGAGATATATTAACATTATCACACTAATGCTTGGTATTTGGTGAAAATGTGCATTTATCTCACCAGGGAAGATGTCGGTGCGCAAGCAGTGGCCCAGCATGTGATAGTTTCTATGCTTATCAGTGAAGACTGAACTGGAGTCAGAGTAATGGGGAACACACAGCGGAGGAACCAGCGGAGCTTCCAACTTCTGCACCTTCATACACACACACACACATGCACACACACACACACACACACACACACACACACACAAACACACAGCAGAGCCATTTCATGAGATCGGTGCCAAATGGGCATTTTTTTTCATGTCAGGAATTAAAGTTTATACTCCATAGTTTAATTATATATTGCTCTACCCAAAAACAGATTTTTTCATTTTAGTAACCAATTTTATATTTTTGTGCAAAATAATAATGAGCATTATATCCCCATCACTGAACTCTGAAAGAGGGAACGTGACAGGATGGAACATTTCAGGCTAAACTAGCTACCATGCTAGCTGTTGTGTAACATCAGTTTTTCAACAGTTAATTACATGACTTTTCTGTGAATACTACAGAAAGCCATAAAAATATACTGCTTTCTCTGTTTTTTGTGTGATGAGGCAAACGTTATGCTTGATAGGAAAACAGTAATCAACAATAATTATAAATAGAGGCCATTCTAAAAGCTCTGACTGACCATGATTTGTGTTCTGTCAGACAGAAAGCCTAAATCTGCTCATAAAGCTTTATATTGTTGTGCCACGATTGGACATTGACGATCGCTGTTTGTGATCTTATTTGTAGATGCCCCCGGAGCTCTCCACGGTTTCAGCAGTCCTTTGAGTTTTAAAAGAAAGGTGCGAAATGCAGGTTGTCAGACATCCCTAACTCACCTCTTGGACCCTCTCTAAATGTCTCAAAAACCTGGGGAGAAGAATAGACTTAAATAGACTAAAAATAGACTCAAATACAAATCCAGGGAGAGGTCATTGTTTAACCTGCTTCATCCACAATCAATAAGCTTCTGTCATTAATATTCTTAACTAACTAGAGCTGCAGCACTGGTCTGATTCAGAGTGGTGATGTAGCAAACTGGTTCAGCCAGTTGGAACTTCATATCCTAGTAGCTGTAACTATGACCGGGATACCTCTGAAAACTTTACAATATGTCATAGAATATTTGCAAATCTAAATAATTGCCCAATTTTCCCAAAAGTCTGGTGAAACGAATTAACGGTTACTCATTTCTTAAACTGAATTTAATGTGTGGAGGAGAATATTATTAAACGAGAAAAGAGTATTTCCAAAAGAAGGACTGTTAAGTCATACATTTTGTTGCCATTTAAGCTGGCATTTGAGTACACAGCCAATATGGGACCACTCCAAATACTAGGGGGTATTTTGCACAATGTTTAAAAGGCATTCGTTGCACATTATTTCATGTGAAAACTAGGTGGAAGCTGATTGTTTTATTTACCTACAATCAGGGTTGGGAGGGTTACATTAAAAATGCATTCCATTATAGATTACTGATTACCTGTTAAAAAATGTAACTGTAACCTAATCCAAATGGTTACCATATTAAAGTTATGTAATCTGATTACTTTATTTTTGGATTACTTCACTTTTTTAAATTGTATAGTTAAATAAAGACAAGAGAAAATCATTAAACCTAATTTTAACAAATGTTGTGCCTCACACCGGTCAATGATCTCATGTCAAGTGAAATGGTCAAATCTATGTGGAGAAATATATGGAAATATTTCAAATATAAGGATAAAACATTTGTTCATGTACACTAATAAGCAGTGAAAAAGGCGCAAAGTTCAGAAATCAAGGCAAAAACTGAGTGACAAGAAAATGAAGGAAGACTAAAAGGGAACACAACAAGTAATCACTGAAGAATGATCCAGTTCATTGAGTTCAACATACAAATGCAATACAGTTAAAAACTATATTGATCCCCTAAAGATTTACCTTATTTGTTAAAAATCTGTTGTTTATCATGCCAAAGTCAAAAGATCAGTCTGGTAAATCTTTGTTTGAGACTCCTCATCAACAATAATTATAAATACAGACAATGTGTTCTGTCTCTTTAAAGACCTGCAATGTCTCATAAGGTTTACTGTTCATGCGCTGTGCTGTAGTTTAATGCATTCATTTTACAGGAAAGCGGAAGCTGATCATCTTAGTTACAAATAATTACAATTTATACATATTAACATTTTGCACCCATTATTCAAAACCTACCAGAGAAATACACTGTTAATGTGAAAACAAAATAAAGTTCACAGATCAGGAGACTTCACTCTCTTTTCATATTTTGGAACTGTTGGTTAATGTTAGATCACTTCAGCATTAAAATCTAGCAGGTTAGCATTCACAAAAGCTCAATTTATAACTAGTCAAACTGTAGAATTTCATGGAGAATAAAATAGTTTACTCCCACATCAGATTAGTTTGCTGATGCAGAATCAGGTGATATGTAATATATATAGGAAAATGCTGAAGATCTTAGTTCCGACACTAAAAATAAAATACTTGCTAAAAGTTCTGCTGACCAGCTGAACAAAAGACATTAACTACTGCTGGGGAAGAGGATTCTTCAGAAATCTCTACTGGCAGCAGAGGCCTACTCCCCTCCTCTCCTCTTCCCCCAGTTAAAAAACTCTTCAAATCTACACAGTTCACAGGACACATTTATCATTAAAATGGCAAATTTCGACAAAAGGCGATAAGTCTGCATGTATGTCGTAAGAATGCCTTTACATGTATTCTGCGACTACCCAACCCTGCCTATAATGATCATTTACACATACTAGAAGTTTTGTACCCATCGTTCTCAAACTGCTGAAGAAAGAAATGCATAACTAAAACCGATAACTACACCGCTCATGAGACTCCTTTCCAGTTTTGTGGCTCTGTTCCATTTTATTCTTCTTAGCTCACGTTAGCTAACTTTAGGATATTAGCAAAGGTTTAATTTATAGCTACTCAAAACTATAATAGCAACAAACAAGAATAAATGACTTTGCTGCTATAAAATCAGGTGTTGTGTAAAAAAAAGGTTTTTATAGATTGGTAGAAGAAAATACCAGTAACTAGTGCTTCTAAGGGAAATTTTTCTTCAGAATTACCTTACCAAAATGAAAAACTCTTCAAATCTCACTTTCAAATGTGACGTTTATCATTTAAAATGGCAAATTTCAACAAAAGGCAACAAGTTTGTGTGATTTCAATGTAGTCCTTCTAGTAATCACCCTGTTTTTATAATGTACCTGTACTCTAATAACTGTCTTTTTTGCTGTATTGTTACAGTTACAATTGAGTTTTTATATGCTGATTACATAATTTATTTCGTTACTACCCAACCCTACATCTCACGTCAAACCACAGCATCTGCTGCCCAGCCCTGAATAGTAAGATATTAACAAAATGCTGTGTGCATATGGTAATATAATTGATCATTATGGTCATTTTATGGTAATGACTTCTAGCTGACTACTTTGGATGACTAGTGGACTAGCAAAAAGTTTAGTTGTGCAATCTTTAGACTGAACTGATCTGAAACATTAACTTTGTAAAAATACAATGCCAAGAATAATATTTCACTTTTTTTATCAACTGTTTTCATGTTAATCAATGTCAATCACTGGCTCAAAGTACATCCTCACAGGATGTACTTCCTTTTAGAATGCAACTTTCGACCCTATATTTTTTTAAACTCTGTATTACCTTCAAACAAAAATAAGGACATTTATATCTAGCATTTTGTAATTTTTCACATAAACTACTTAGACTTGGATTATCAGAGTTCCAGGTTTAAAGAAGTTACCAAAGCCTCCTTTTGTGTCACAGGCTCTGGTTCATCAGTAGATGTCATCCTGATGCAGCTGAACTCCAACCCTTTAGTTCAGATTTTCCGCAGATTCTCTAGTGGGAGGGCTGAATCCGCTGTGGTGGGTCTACATTGGGTATACCTTGAAATTGAGCAGCATCATGTTATATGACAGTTAATAAAGCTCCCTCTTGAGGCAACACAGCACACCTACACCGCACGACTCCTCACAACTCAGTCTGAAACCATGAAATCAAAACAAGCAACACAAAAGTATAAAACTTTCTCAAATTATAAATTCTGTAGCTAGCAGTAGACTAGCTGTTCCAGAGAGGAGTTCAAAACCAACATTTCTGCACAAAAAAGAATTCACAGATCCACCAAGCAATAGCCAGCAATATCCTTTATTTTTCTTCATTAGAAAGTTTAAAATCAAGTTTGGGGCAGTGGAATTGTGGTTACATTCTGCAACGTTTTGCTCAAAATTCACCTCTTAATGCAAACTTGCTATTAAAAATTCTCAGGGCTGCGACCCCATAGCCAGGGCCTAGCCATGCCCCTGATTATGAGTTGAACTGCAAGAAAACATAGCTAAAAAAAGTTTAATCTGAAACCGAATATATAAACAAATAACTTAAGAAGGAATTACTCACCCCAGTGTCTAGAGAGCTGGCAGCAGTTTGTGTTTGTCTGCTGAAACTTTACCTGCAGATGAGCTCCACATGAATAAATGATAGGATTTCTAAAGAGGACCCCACAAACAATCAGCGCCTAAAGCACGCTCACGTTGAGTGATGTCCTAATGGCAGAACAATGTAATAATAGATAGTGTACAGGTACACAGAATGATGTCACAATAGGTGGATGATGACTTTTTGTTCTTTAAACTCACAATGGATTGCAATGTTTTACAAGTCAATATGTTTATCATATTTATTCAGGTCACACAATTTATATTTATGGCACAAATTATATTCATGGCAAACACACTTTAAAATTAAAACATTAAAAATAAATACATTTAGTGTTTTGAGATCAAAAAAGCTCAAAACAATGCATTTATTATGTCTAGGGTTGATTTGCCAGACCCAGATTAAGCCTAAACCAGGATTAAATGAGATTTTAGTGATAAAACTAGGGCTGAACGATTTGGGGTAAACATCTGACTACAGTCTTTCTGACTAATATTGTGAGAGCAATTAAACATGCAATTATTTTTCTACAAATGAAGGTACAGGCTTGTTTTTTTTGCCAAGAGGTCCAGCAAGTCACACGCTCACAGATCACAAGCTCAGTATTTTTAAGTACAATTTCCCCAACTGTAACTTGTCAAGGCAACACTGATGATAATGTATGCTACAATGAAGATTGCACTCTTTTTAAATTGTGATTTCAACATAAAGACAATTAATATTTCACACCCCAGATGATGCCATTGACATCACAGTTTAATCCAAGACTAGGCTTAATCCATGACCACAAAATCAGCATCATTCATTGATACTGTTTCCCTTTAAAAGAAGATTTCAATACATTTTACAACTCATACATTTGTCATATTTATTGTGGTCACACATAATGTATATTCATGTCATTTAATATATCTTTAGAGTAAACAAATCTCAATATTTATATATTTACACACGAACTCCTCCTATGATATCTCTTCCGCTGGTGGCCCACTGACAGCTGATCTCAAACCTCTCTGAAATTAAATCCTGATGTCAACCATCAAATAAAAAAACCATAGCAATTATATACAAGACCAGCTGCCTACAGCAACTCCTTCCACGTTTGTTGGTGTTATCCATTCAAGATATGATCCACTGGCAACTTTACTAGTGGCTGTTGAACAAAATAATAAAACCGTTGCTGCCCACGTTGTAGGAGACACTGCTTATTTAAACAGCTTCAAAGTCTGTATTGTGTACTGACTTCAGTTCATATTCAGGCTTGTCCTCAAGCCAGACTGAAGAAATCCAAATGCAACTCAGAATGTAAAACCAGATCATAAATTTAAGAAGTTCTCAAACCTTTTGTGAACAGAATGGGGATTGATGCTCCAATTCTATAAGCAGAACACAGATTTGCTGCATCTTACTGCAGAGTCCAAGTTGTACCCCGTGGATGCAAAGCTCTATGTTGGGGCAAATCTTTTGGCTTGAGCCCTCACTCGCTTCTCATAGTCCATCCTATTCTGACTGTTAGGCAAAAAGAGAGAAAAAAAAGACATTAAGCAAATAGCTGTCCAGCTCAGAACACAGCACATAACCATTTATGCCATTGATGTACAAAGACATGGACACAATTCAATGAAATTACCAGAAAACCTCCAAAACAGGTGGTTTTCATGCAAAATCTGGCTCCTACCACCATCTACAAAGCACAAAGACTGTTGTTTACATAAGGACAAAATAGTGAAAAAACCCGACGCCAGACTATCTCATGTCCTGTTATTCCGTCCTCCCTTTGGCAAACATTTCCGAAGCATAACAGCGTGCACCACCCACCTCAGGAAATAGCTTCTTCTCCCTGGCCATCAGAGCTCTGAAAAGCTAAAAACTGACCGACTCTGTCTCCCAATTTATATTGTATATTTTGCACCCTGCAAAACCTTTTACTACTGCACTAGTACATATCGTAGCATAGTCTAGCTACCTAGTAAATTGTATATGTTGTGCCATACTCTAGTGAATCGTAAATATTACAGCATTACACTGTACTATTAAATAGTTTACTGTATACCATTTATTGTTATTACTGCCTACCTCATTACTTACTGCCACTCAGCTGTACTGTTGGTGCCATTTCTTTATTTGTTACTGGCGTACTTGTCTAGTATGTGCAATGCCTACCTCCCTGTTGTAATACATGAAGAATGTGGTTTGACACTGTCTTGCTGAAATAAGCAAGGCCTTCCCTGAAAAAGACTGTATAGTCTATATGGCAGCATATGTTGCCAAAACATGTATATATCGTTCAGCATTAATGGTGCCTTCACAGATGCACCAGTCACCCATGCCATGTGCACTAATGCACCCCTATACCATCATGAATACCGACTTTTGAACTGTGCACTGATAACAAGCTGAGTGGTCTTTAACCTGGAGGACAGAGTGTCCATGATTTCCAAAAAGAATTCCAAATGTTGATTTGTTGGACCACAGAGTAGTTTTCCACTTCCCCTCAGTCCATTTTAAATGAGCTCAGGCCCAGAGAAGGTGGCAGCATTCTTGGATCCTGTTTATGTAGTTTCTTCTTAGCATTTTAGAGTTTTAACTTGCATTTGTGGATGCAGCAACAAACTGTTTTCACAGACAGTGGTTTTCAGAAGTGTTTCTGAGCCCATGCAGTGATTTCCACTAGAGAATCATGTCTGTTTTTAATGCAGTACCGCCTGAGGGCCCAAAGATCACGGCCTGCAAATACTGGTTTTTGGCCTTGTTCCTTGCATACAGAGATTTCTCCAGATTCTCAGAATCTTTTAATGTTACTATGTACCGTGGATGATGAAAAGGAAAAGTTCTTTGCTATTTTATGATGAGAAATGTTATTCTTGAATTGTTGCACTATTTGCTCATGCAGTCTTTCACAGAGTGGTGAACCCCTCCTCATCTTTACTTCTGAAAAGCCTCTCTGGGATGCTTTTTTAATACCCAATAATATTATTGACCTGTTGTCAGTCAACCACCAGGTGTTTTTTTTTTTAACCAAGACGCAACTTTACCAGCCTTTTGTTGCCCCCATCCCAACTTTTTTGGAACATGTTGTTGGCATCAAATTTCTCAGTTTCAACATTTGATATGTTGTCTTTGTACAGTTTCAATTAAATATAGGGTTTAAATGATTTGCACATCATTGCATTTTGTTTTTATTCACACTTTGCACAGCGTCCCAACTTTTTTGGAAATGGGGTTGTAGGTCGGAGCTTAAGAATTTCATTGTATTTTGCCCTGTATTCTTAATACATATGACAATAAACCATTCTCTCTTAAAGCTCAGGCTCACTTGAAGCTGCTCCATAACATCCCATTCTATTGGTGACAGCATTTCTATGGAGATTATACAAGCTGGGTATACAGAACTAACAACTTGCGTCAGCATTTGGTGCATGTTAAAATAGCAATACTCACTTATTACAACAGCTGTCTGGATATTTTTGGAAATATAGTGTTTATGGCATGATCGGGGCTAGCTTGACACTCATATGTACAGTTTAAACAACAATCAACATGAAGTCAATAACCTGCAGCTTTTAAGCTTTTTTTGTGTTATAGCACTAGCTGTTAGGTAATAAACACATTCACAGGCTATAACTTAAGGCTACACTTAACAGAAGTAACATGAAAACTCAGTTGTGGCCTACCTTGCAATCTATTCAAATACCAATCGTTTATTGGAAATTGAATGAACTTTTTAACTGACAGCAATGGTTGAACATTTATGTCATTAACATCTTTAGTACTCAGCCAACTCTACTTTTTCTGCATATATGCAAGAAGGCTTGTGTAATGTGTTCCTGTTATCTCGCCTTCAGACAGTGTAAATGAACAGAATCTTCTCACCAGTAGATGGTGTAAGCTTCAGCCTGTGCTGGGTCCTGTATGTTGGGTTCATTCAGCAGCTCCTGGATGCCCAGCAAAATCTGCCAAAACAAACACATACAGATACTGAGCTGTTCTGCACAAACTGATAATGTTATTGTATAAACCATTTATTAAAAATAAAAAACAGTATCATCTACAGTTTCATCCAATTAAAAGGGGAATTCCAAAATTTCCCCACTTGTTTTGCATTATTCTAAATAAATAAATAAAGCCATTCACAGTGATTTGATGTGAAATGATGTTGAAACCAGATGTCTGAAGAGTTTAATGCCTCTAAAATCTACACTACATAAAGTTATTACATGAAATGGGTACGAATACACTGCCTGATGCCTTAGATGATAGTTCATGATGATTTAGTGATTTAGTAGAAAAAAAAAAGAATTAATGCATTCAAACCGAAATGGTACATACAAGGCATAAAAGGCAAAATAGCAATTTTTGGTCAAAAAATTTTAAGAAAAATAACAGAAAAAAAGAAATATAGTCAGCACACCGCAATTTTTCAAATGTTGACATCAATAATCTTTGAAGTATTTATACAGCCTTTAAAAAAAAAGAAAAATAATGCAATAACTGCTAATGGTGATTTTTTTTGTTGTTGTTTATGAGGCTATAGATACATTTTAATCTATGGCTCTTCAATTAATATAATCAAGCAGAACATAATTCAATGGACATGAGAGACCCATAAGTCATGCCATCTGCCAATAAATATCAACTGTGTTTTCAAGTAGTATAGATTACCAGCAAAAATCTAGCTGAAGCAGCTAGTGTTTTAGGAGAATAGTGATGTCATATTTGTATCAACGATCATTCATTTTGACAGCTTAAATAGGAAAAAACATTATGCTTTTCAATTGGCTTAAAATGAAAAGGAACAATAAAACTCATTTTAGCTCTAATCTCTAGAGAATGCAGTTCACCTCCTGCTCTTCCCAAACACAAGAACTGAATGAGAGAATGTGTATTTGCTCTTGCCTGTTTGATGGTGATGGCTGGTCTCCAGTCCTTCTCCTCCTCCAGTATGGACAGACAGACTGTGCCTGATGGGTAGACATTCGGATGGAAAATCGGAGGCTCAAACTTACCTGAAGGAAAAAAAGACATGAGCTTATATGAATTCTGAAACACTATTGTCACATATCAGCTGAGAAAATAATTTTGAATAGCAGTCCTAACAGTGTCAGTGCCTTAGGAACAACACAAAATTTGGGGAAACTCAAACCTGATATGTACGGATGTACTATAATATTGGAATCATTCCATTCAGCAGATAATTGCTTTTAACAAAGGAATTATCAGCATCAGACAGATGTGTAGATTTGACGGATATTTCAAACTGCCATTTGATTATTGCACTCTGGAAGAGCAGCATTTTACACTATTCTATGCTAAAATGTCTGCATTTTATTCATCTTACTGCATTTGTAACCCTCTACAAATAAATGATGTTTCTTAGCAATGCTAATCTAGATAAACGTTCTCTCAATTTCTACATTTTTATAAACATTTATGCTTCAAAAATAGTAGACAGGTACATGAAAATAAGTCGATATCAGCATTGGCCCGCAATTTCTATATCATAAATATTAGCCTGCACTTTTGACTAAATGACCACAAGGCCAGTCACGATTATGAAATTTTAGCTTATAATTAATAGCCATAAAAAATAACTGCAATTTACAACAGTTCTTTTTTGTTTACTGTACGTAAGTATTAAATTACAAGCCAAAAGCATCCAAATTGGCTGATTAGTTGTCTGGCTTCCACACTGTTGATACTTAGGAGCTCCCAACTGTCAGAAACACTTAAGCTCCAATAAATTAACATTATTCATTGCTGCCATAAGATATATACAGCACTTTTGTTGTTGTTATATGACACTTTGGTTTCGGTTATTCATATGCATTATCTTCAGCTCAACTGATCATAAGAGAAGCACCTAAATCACATTCTGCCTGTTGCAACATACAATCCCATTCAACATGAAATGATTTTTCGTTGAAGTGATAATAAGTACACATCGTCTACAGAGTGCACATTTTAATGCACAATTACTGGATTTTTTTTAACACACTGGAAAAAAGCATGTGATGTGGCCTGTGTAAAAGTTATGAAACATTTTATTTTTACCAATATATTAAGCAAATAAACAGAAACTGCACATCAAAATTTGCCATTAAATGCCATAGCCATGTTCTCTGTTCACGATGTGAACACTTATTTTCAATTCGAAAACCGAATAACCATGTCATTTGACTGGGGTGTTCAAAATTTTGCATATGATTGTGAAAAACAGGCCTAACACTGGTCAGCTCAAATAATAGTGATCAAGCAACTACGTAATAATTGTGAGAGGCCAGATTACTGCTTTAACACAGACACTGTCAGAAATCAGATTTTTTTTCACATACAAATGTAGGCATCAGACAACATGGTTTACATCTGGAGAACTTCTTACAGCATGTGCAAAGTGTATTCTGAATGTACACACTTACATTTAGGAGGGGATGATGGGTAGTCATCCTTGAAGAGCATTCTCAGTTTGTACAAGCCTCCTTCCCAAAGGGTCTACAACAAAAATACAGTGCCGTGATATATGTGGAACAAATAACCAAATCATTAAATTTAGCTCAATTTTATACAGAGCATTTAAAATGATTTTTCCATGTGAATTTTGAATATGCATGTGTACTGACTCCATACATACACATTATCTGGCTACATTCACATTACCAGGTTGAAGTGGCGCAAATCTGATCTTTTCAAATCTGACAAGAGCCACTTTCATATGTGGTCCTAGATCGGCTATGTATCCGATTCACGGTCGTGCAACCTTATTGTGAACGCTCATATCAGAAGTCATGTGCTTTTTTTCCCCCCACTGTGTGTGCGTCATCATTCAGCGTTACCATCGCGGCAGCGCCGAACAGAAGTTAAAGCACGTGAACAGTGAAAAGCAGCACATTTCACTCTTTTCGCCTTTGTCTTGCTCTAATAATGTACAGCTGAGAGCTGTTCAGAGTTATCTTAGCAGCTAAGGCTTATTCTGCTCGTTGGTGTGTTTGCTGTTCATAAGGCTGGTTCAATCACATTAATGACAGATTTAAGTCACTTACCTAAATGAGTATGAACCATCATGTCAAAGAGATAGGATCTGAGCAATGAGGCTTGTAACGTGACCTGTATGTGCCTTGTAATGTGTAACGTAGCCCTAGTGTTGTGATGTAACTGCCTTTACCAGAGAGCAGACATGTTGTTCTCACTGCTTCACTGCTTACCCCTTTCTTTCCCGGGATGGCACACTCCCAGTTCATCAGATTCATAGTGCCATCTGGGTTCTTGGTTGGTACAGCAACAAAGCCCTATGGAAATGAATAATCACACTTGGAAACAACATACATTCAATTCATACCGAGTCTAAACAAACAGATAAATGAGTCGATAAATTAATGTGAAATTTTTAAATTATTAATATTACTATATTATTACAGATATGGATTTTTTTTGAAATATGGAAAATAAATATACGTGAAATGTATTTATCAAACACATTCGAAAATGTGTGAAAATGGGCTTTTTTTGCTCAGTGCACTTCAGTGCTTGGGATAAAATTTCAATGAAAATGTTTTTAAAATATATTTCAAATAAAAAATACATGCCTATAGTACAGTACATGAGTTTACAGCTACAGTCTTAATATAATAGTGATGATGCAAAAGTAACCAAAAAAACTTGTTTCGGAGTCATATACTACCACAAAACCTCTACACTTTTTCAACATTTAATTAATAATCTGATATTAAATGTGTCTCACAAACGGGTGATCTTTCCTCCAGGCTTTGCGCTCCTGAGACAGCCTACTCAGAGCAATGCCGGACATGACTCATTGGCGCCTCTATGTGGACACACAAAGAAATACAACAACAACCATCATCAAAGACGCACATCTGAAACGCAGACATATTACAGGCGGTAAAAACAGTTTTATCAGTTTAATGAGGAACCCATAACTACACGTCTGTACTATTACAACCATCTCCTAGATAAAATGATGTAGATTAGTTAGCTATCTAGCTGTATAACATGGTGAGTCTTCATTACAGGCGTTGGCTTAACTTACCTAGTAACAGCAAATGGACTACAAAAATGACTCCCACCAGCCAGCTGATAACAAACTGCTTCGTTTTTTTAAATCACCAGCAAATTAAAATGACTTTAAATGCCCGGAGAATACACAAGAACATCTGTAGCTGCGACTGGATAGCAGTTATAGCAGTTAGCTTTAGCCAGGAAGAAAGCGTCTGCCTCAAACCGCGTGGATGTTCACAATCTTCTGATTGAGGCAGTCGAAGATTTTAAAGCTGGACGAATATGTTTAAATCGCTGTATTTTAAATAACTTGAGAGAATATATAACTGCTCGTTTGATGAGGAAGCCAGGAGAGCGCTGCCTGCCCGTCGGTTTCAGGGCCTTCAGGCATAATATGGGACAACTAACTAACACCGTCCACCGTATTCTGCCATTAAAAGTGTGGCAAACTCACTCACAGCCTCACCGTGTTAAAGGGGAATTCCACCAATCGCCAACTTCTCAAAATTTTGGCATAATTTGTCGTTCAGACATAAATATATTGACTCAGAGTGGTTTGGAATGGTGCACTGTGAAGAAACTGACCAATTCAGATTTTATTTACTGTGGTAATGGTAGGAACCAGGGGTCCCAGGTGATCTTATTTACTATGCAAACGACCCGTAAACCTGCACGTCTTCTGAGTTTTCACTGGGGACAATTTTTTCTCACAATGCTCTGATTGTACATCTCCTCCATGAAGGCCTATACTTCAGGCCTTAAGCTTACTTTAAAACTATTGTAAAACATCACACATTTTTATGTCATGGGAAAGCAGAATTTCCCCTCACTTTTTCTTAACAAAGAAGTTCAAAGTAATAAGTAAAAAAAAACAGCTTGTTTTGAACTCATTGATTCTGTGATGTCATAAGAACCAACTCATTTACATATGTCCACCTATTTAGCCTATAGCAGTTTAGCTCTAGCCATCCATACTGAAGTTCTAAGGAGTGTTCTAAGGAGATGTTTCAGCTCTGAGTGCTTTTTGAACAAGTCACAATGCAGGTCAACCAATTAAAAGAGAGCTTATTTACATATATACATCTCAAAAAATGGCTTGTTTAGTTCTAAGTGATATGGAAAGGTTGAAAAATGGTAATCTAAAAATAAATTCTAAAAGAATAAAACAATAATTAAAACAATTTTGGTGCAATATTATAGCTGGACCTCAACAGTCAATTAAAACACAAGAAAAGGATAAAATATTGTCCCTTTAAATATATTGGACATCTGGTTTCTATCATTACCTCTGAAAAATTCAGGCTTGTAAGTTTCTAGAGAACAAAGCATTTGACATCAAACCACTCTGAATGCATTTGTTTATACCTAGATGATTTAATTATGCAAATTGATGGAATTCCCCTTTAATCGTGTTTCCTGCAGAAGTGAATTTACTTTGCTACTCCACTTAGATTTTTCCTCAATTAAATTTCTAAGAAAAATAAAATACTTTTTTTTCTTTCATTTAGGTCTTTAAAGGGCTCATTACAAATCTCAAAGAGTAGAGGATTTTCTCTTGCCGGTCATTTGAGTTCTCATTCATTGTTTCAGTTATAACCATTATAAATGTAAAATGAAACTTTTTTTCTAAATTTTCCTTGTGTGAGGACTACTACTACCCATTAGTCACCAAACTACACACCAAAGATTTTCAGAAAGTACTCCTTCTACCACTTAACTATGCTAATAACGCTGTACTTTTTCCAACTCTGATAAAAACAAGGCAAACATGAACCTGTATAGTGCAGGTGACCTTGTGCACAGGACTTGGGAAAGTTAACATTGCTTTGAAAAAACCTAATGCAGATTATGAATTTCTTTTTTCTGCTAGGTTTTATCATCAGTGAAAGAATTTAAAGTTGCCAGTCCTCCCTGAAATACAAAAAATCAAATCCTGAAGTTTTAATTCATTTGATTAAGTTTTAAGAAGAGCAAAATCTATGTATGTAGTGGCAGTAAAGCTCCCCAACCCCCACAAAAATCTCCCAGATTGCTGTTATATGGAGTTGGCAAACCTAGTCAAGATGCAAAACCTCTAATTTTGAACACAAAGACGACACTACAATTTTTGTGTGCCACTTATAATTTATTTAAATGAATATGAATGAAGTAAACAGCAACATCAGATCTTTCTGATGATTTAAACCGTTAACACTGCAGACAGCGACAAATGCTATAATGGTACTCTAACCGTTTAATGTGCAGAAGATTATGAAAGGCACTTAGCAAAACAAGTTAATCTTCCATACATTATAATCTATTCTTTGAAAAGCTCTTTTAATACCTTGCTCATATCACTTCTGATACCTGCAGTGGTCATAAACATCACTGAGAAGTACATACAATACAAGTGAGGTGAGTTAGCCTGGACACTACTATAATGTAGCAGACTGCTGTTACTTTCATACATACAAAATACTAGAGAACATAACCGCTATGCAATAAGTAACCATTCATCTTTCAATATTGTTTCAAGTGACAGTGACTGAGGTCCCGTTGATCACTGTTGACCCCTGGGGTCAAACAGGTGATGACTCTTGCACCCTTATTATGGTCTTATTGTCTTTTTTAATGATCATAAATGGACATGTAAAAGTAAAATGAGAAGCACCTTTATAACCATTTAGAACACAGCCTTCAGAATCTGAATGTAGCACAATCACGCATCACTTTTTCCCCTTAGCGCAGTTTTCAGGACTAGTTCCTCTGAGGCAGGGTTGGGCAACATCCACTTGTTTCACACCTTCAGACCGTCTTCAAATATTACCGTAGTATACAGTGTTACCAGTGGGGTAATATGTCTTGTCCTGCACTCTTTCAAAATTGAAAAGAATTAAAACGTTTAGTTTGCTTACAGGGTAAACACGTGTGTGATTTTCAAGCCATCATTCAATAAACATCAAGCCATCTATCAAACAATTACCAAATGTTAAACAGTGCTGCTAACTAGGAGAGAGGAGCTAGTTAGCATTAGCTTAGCTAGTATGACAACAACTCTGCTCCCCACAGAACATGCTGGAATCTGTGGTGAGCAGAGTGGTTAGCATTAGCTTAGTTGGTATTATAACAACTCTGCTCCCCATAGAACATACTGGATTCTCTGGCAAGCAGAGTGGTTAGCATTAGCTAAACTCAATATGATAAGAACTCTGCTCACCACAGAACATGTTGGATTCTGTGGCAAGCAGAATGGTTAGCATTAGCTTAGCTGGTATTATAACAACTCTGCTCACCACAGAACTGATTCTGGCTAACTAAAGCACCTACACAAAATTAGATGATAATGATTCAAATCTGAGGGAGTGAAGCCTCGAGCAACTGGAGCTGAATGGACAGAAAGGTGAAAAATGAACTTGTCAGGTGTTGTTTAAATCTGTAGCCTGATTGGCTAATTTAAAGTTCGCTTACTGACCAGGCCAAACAGGGCCACATACCACAGTACTGAGTTGATTCTGACTAACTGGTGTCAGAGAGAGCAAATGTCAAGTGACTGATGTTGGAGTGACAGAAAACCAAACCTGTTCCATGATGTTTGGGACTGCAGTGTTTTGGCTAAGCTAACAATAGCTTAGTTAGCAGGCCAAACGTGTTACACGCCATAGCACAGGTTTGGATCCAGCTAACTGATGCTAAAATTACACCCGTTTAGAAGACATCCGAGAGCACGAAGTCGAGTAACCGGTGTTAAAGTAAAGCCGAAATCGAACGTGTTCTGTGGTGTGTGAAGCTCTTGGCTGTCGCTGATCTACTATCATGCTCAGTCTTTTCTGAGGTTTTCCTGGCTCTAATATTTCTCCTCTTTCTATCACCACTACCTATCAGTGAGCTTCCACAACACCAATCAATGAGCCTCTATAAAAACATATAAGGGTGGAATATTTGGCCGTTCAGACGCGGAACAGAAATTTGACATCATAATTTTTAAAAGTCTATAGTATCGTTATACATCATTATTGTTATACTGCCTAACCCTACTCAAATTATTTTAAAAGTAATCCTTTAACTGTCAAAGCCTAGAAGAAGCTGTTTCCATCCAAAACAGGCACTCTCACACCTGTTTGCCTTTACCCTCAGAGATAACATGTTCAGGTGCAGCCTTGGCAAACCACTCGGACCACGACCCATCATACAGACAGACATCTTGGTGCCCACAAAGGTAGGCCGCAAGGGTGATGTGGCAGGCGGTCACACCTGAGCCACAGGTGACCCAGAAGGGTTTCTGCAGGTCAACTCCTGCCTGCTTGAACAGCTTGGTTAGCTCCTCTACTGGTAGTTCAAGTCCAGACGAGTCCATGAAGGAGGGGAACGGCATGTTAATGGCACCAGGAATATGACCAGGTTCAGTATCTGAGAGGGAGAATGAAGGGAAGGTTAAGAATTCCTTTAACATCATATTATACTCTTAATATCAAAATTGCAATTTGAGTATAACTTTCAAATTGTTGAAAGTTAAAAAAACAGGCCTGGAGCTTAATATACAGAAAATAATCACATCTAATCACAACTGTTGGTCACAAAAATCGCAATTAGCTATATTCCACAAATCGTTTAGCCCTACTGATAAAATTCAATATTTTTCCAATATATTACAGTATCATGTGATAGAAGTTTGCACTAATAAATTCATAAATCACTCTATTGTTCCTGAGTATTGCTATTCTATGCTAAAAGAATTAAACCTCTGAAATGGTGTTCTCAAAATTTACCTATGTTATGCTTTGTGTAAACAAGGTTCTAAAGTCAAATCATTTTATCCTAAATACATTTTTCCTCCAAATATCACTGGTTCCCCTGAATTATGAAGTCATTAAGCAGTCAAAATATGAATATTGCTGCAGGCAAGCTAACACAGCCGCTCTAATACTCCATGTAAACAAGTAAGGTTAGCCAAATGTTGTAGTTTTACCAAATGTGGCAGTAGCAGGTTACTGTGAGTATCAAGTGTTATTCTATAATAGAGTTGAAACACAGTATTATTGTACATTAAAGACAGAGGTGAGCCATACAACTAGGGAGTATCACAACTGTTGTTTAGCAACAGTGAGTAACAGACTTACTGATACAGTGATACTTAACATTCACAGTAAGTAAGCCTGTGCTAATCACTTTGCATAATTGCGATAGTTCAGTAGAACAGGTTGTGTATGTAAGTGCAAAGATCACTGGAAATAGGTTACATTAGGCCAATGTTTCCCTCTTCTGTTCCTGGAGCCACCCTGCACTGGACAATTAGTCTTTTCCCTAGTGTAGCACGCCCTGTGCACTGAAACACACACAAAACTTGTCTACAGAGAAAAATGAGGGCCTGATGATAATGATCCATGAACTTCAGACTGTATAGATTATTCTATAGAGTCAATCAATTCAGGTTGTTCAATGTAAAAACATTTTCGGCACGCAAAAGTTCAATGTCCCCCATGTTCATTCACCTTCCCTGCTCTACACCACACAAAACACATACATATGCGGTACAGAGGGTATTTCACAATTTTACAAAGCTGGATTTTGCAGGTAACTAAAGTTGAGTATGTGTCAGTAGGAATGGCTCTGAGCTTGTTTCCTATTGGACAGGCTTGCAGCGTCTTCCAAATGTCAACACAATTTAATCGGTGAGATGTTAACAAAGTCATTCAGTGTTAAATGTGAAACCAAGGACTGTGCTATGTACTACGCAAATATGGCCATTTTATTTGCCATCTAAAGTGACCAATGAACCTTCATGTGTCTTCTGAACCTTCACATATAATGTTCATGATGGTAAAATAGTGGTAAATCAGTAAAGACAGTTAAGCTTATAGGGTACTATTTTGCATGTATATTTCCACCATATTTTAAGAAAGATGTTTTTATCTCAAATCTATCATAAAACTGTCTCGGGCATCGGCTCTTGATACCAAATTGACACTTCTGGTAACATACTAAATTAAATGTTTTCACCAAAAATGACTGAATATTAGAGTTGACTTTTAAGAAACAGGGTTGAACAGATCATATTCACCCATTAAGCTGATATTAATATAAAAAAATGTTTTAAAAAGGTATACAACATTGAGCAGAAGGGAAAGCTGAAACATATTTTTAATCAAAACCTTTTCATTACAGTCTTCTGTTTCAAGCCATTTTCATTTCATTTTCATTTAAAATAACTGAAGATTAAAAACAGGTAACAGGGTTTAAAGTAACAGGGCTGTGCACTTAGCCTAAAATAAGCAGCATTCGGAGGTGGTGAGTCTGACAGGCCGCATATGATGCACGCAAACTACAAATAACCATACAGTTTACATGAATTAAAAAAACATAAGTGTGTATATATATATATTATTTTTGGTAATTTTTTGGGCTTTTAAATGCCATTTGCACATCTAGCAAATGCTAATTTGAATCCTTTTATTTTAAGTTAAAGTACAGATCCCTTCACGTTTTACAAAAATAATAAAAAAAACAGTCACTTCATTGCTTTAAAAAATGGTAATGGGACATAAACTGAGCTCTATTAGTGGAAAGTGCCAAATGCTTTAGATGCTTTACATGTTTGGTTCCTATCACCTGCAATATCTGCAACAGAGAATGGAATTATACTGACATTTAGGATAATCTTATTCCAGTTTAAGTTATGTGGCTAACTTTGTGAAAAATACCCAACATGTGAACTAACGGGTCAGATAACCTACTGAACTGTCGACTATCAAAAATGTCTGCACTGAAAACATGAACTCCTGAATTAGTTGACAGTCCGTTAAAATAAAAAAAAACGTTGTTTTGCAGTCGGTGTTCGTAGCTAAGAGGTTACGGCGCTGTGATTTGTTCTACAGATAAACCGTTTTTGGAATCTGCTGTAAGTTACTTCACTTATTTACCTTCTCTCGGTTCCGGTTCGAGCCCGCGAAAACGCCCCTCAACTCTGGCGTCCACGAGCTGAACCTTCTTGCTAGTCATGTTCTCCAGAACGTCTTCATATGTTTTCACCCAGGAGGAGTTTATCTCTGCCTTAAACTCGCTCCTCTCCGGTTTGGTGTACCGGTCGGCGGTGGGGTGACCCTCCCGCAGCCAGGTTTTGAGCCCACCGTTCAAGACGGATACGGAGTTATGACCGAACAGCCTGAACATCCACCAGACCCGGGGCGCCGCGAACGAGCCGAAGTCGCTGCCATCGTAAACTACGACGTGAGTCTGGTTCCCGATCCCCAGATCCCCTACATAGTCCGCGAACTCGCTCGCGGTGGGCAGCATGTGGTCAAACGGAGACGATTTATCGCAGCACTCGTCGATGTCGAAGAACGAGGCTCCGGGAATGTGGAGGTGCTTGAACTCTTCTTGTGCATTGCGGTTCAGTTTAGGCAGGTACCAGGAGGCGTCCAGAATCCGCAGGCTTGGCCCTACTTTGTTGTTTTTGACTGCTTCGGCTAACCACTTCGCAGCTACAAGAGCCTTAACTTGTCCAGCCATGACAGCAGCTGATCTGAGGGTACAGCTGTCTGCACCGGACGCCCTCTAACGGAGGACTCAGTGTACTGCAAGCTTTCTCACTAACAGTTTGTATGGAAGCCTCTTTCAGCGATTTGAAAAAAAAAAAGCCACATAGTATGGCATGACAATGACTTAGGATCTCATAATAAAGAGAACATTGCTCATATTTATTACTTAATATCTAATAAAAATAACTTACTATCTCATAATAATGTTTTCTCATAAGTATGAGGTAGTAAGTCATTATTATAAGTCATAATTATGCGACACTCAGTCATAATTATAGGCTCTTAAAGGGGAATTCCACTGATTTTTCAAAATGTCTGCCTAATTAGGTGGTTGAGATGTAAACAGAGTAATTTAGAGTGGTTTGATCAAAAATGCCTCATTTGTAGAGAAACTTTTAGACTCAGATTTCTTTACAGTGGTGGTGATGGGAACCAGGGGTCACCATGTCTAAAACACAAATATAGCCTGTTTATTTACCGCTTAAAACCAACAGTGAACATACATGTGTCTTCCGAATTTTTATATGTAATGTTGATGATGGTAAAATAGTGGTTAGCCTCAAAAATAAGATGTCTTTGGGAAAAATTTTGCCTTCAGTAAGCCTCAGTAAGTTTCTCTGAAATGAAGCATTTCACATCAAACCACTCTGAATGGCTTTGTTTACATCTTAACCATTACATTATATAGAAATCTTGAAAAAAAAACTGGAGTTATCCTTTATGAGATACTACATCATAATTATGAGAAAGTAAGTCATCATTATGATGTAGTCATTATCATGAGATTCTAAGTCATAATTATGAGACACAAAGTTATTAACTATGAGACAGAAGTCATAATTATGTCATAATTATAAAAAAATGTAATAAATATGGGATAGCGAGTCATAATTTGAATATAGTAAGTCATAATTATGAGATACTGAGTCAATACCTCACCAATCTTGACAAGATCTTAGCTGAAGAATCAACTCTTATTCACTTCAGGAAGTTTGTGAACAAATCTTCAGCAAACCAAGACCTTTTCAGCAAGTGGTCTCAGGTTATTATCAGCGGGTTTATAATTATGCAATGATAAGTCATAATTATGAGAAACTATGTTGTGGTGTGCGATAAACTGATAAACTGATAGGGCACTGTAGCTCTCACAGGGGCACCACAGGAAATTAATCTGGCCCTGAATATAGTAATGTGTTTTTCTTCTCATAAAAGCTTTATAAAATTATGAGGAGCCTGATCTGCTTTTTGTAATCAACACATCATATTAAGCAGGGCATTGCTTTATTTACCTGTTGCAATGGTACACATATACAATATCTCCCTTGTAAGTTTGAAGATTTAAGTTAATTTTATGTATTCAGTGGATTTGCATTACTTTCTTTGACATAGATGGGAGCAACAGACCAGTGAAATAGAGATATCACTGTTCCTTGTAGAGAAAGAAATAGACCAAACACACCACAAATTACCATTTGATAAGCATTTAGATGTATGAGGAACATGTTAGCTGTTGTCTTTTTAATCACCCTTCATAAAGAGTTTGCAAAGGAGGATTTTGTTCCCAAAATCTATTCATTGAGCTTTGAATACAAAACCCAATGACAAGAATATAATAATGCATATAACAATGCACAATGTCTGGAAAGAAACCAACTAAATGAAAGCAGAGAGTAAAAGATTAAAAGTAAAACTTACACCAATAAATAAAGTCAGTCCAATGTATAATTACACATTACAGTACTCAGTGTGCTAGTGTATATATTAGTAGATAGTAGATAGCGGGGTGGAAAATACTTGAGTAATTATACTAATTTTATTTTTGGTAAATTTACACAAGTATTATTGAAATTGAATACTTCCACTTTTGTTTCAGTAACATCGACCCAGTACCATACTTTCATACAGCTTCTCTGTACTTTCTATAACCCTGGTAGATAGCAAATAGCCCATCAAAGAAGTTTTAGGGAGGACAATTTTCTGCGTTTGTAAAGAAATGCTCTTTGTGTTATCATAGATATTAAAGACTTTAGTGTGATGCGAGCAATGTCTTACACTGCAGCAGACCATGCTTAGCACACACAGAAGATTTATGCACTCTCTCAAGTACGCATCCCAAAGTACTTCTCCTCTCCTAGTGCTGGGCAGCTCTTGAACTGAGGTGAAACAGAGTGATGAAGTCTGTTTTCTCACCAACCTGCTTTATCCTTCTGCCAGCTTGTGAGTGATTTCTGCTACATTGTCACGAGGTTTCGTTCTGTGTCGTGGTCATGTGAACATGATAAGGCCACTTTGAAACTCTGTGTTAATGTTGTCTGTGTGCCTTATTTAAGTCTGGACATCAGCAATTAATCACAAGGGACCTGATGCCTCTTTGTGTTTTTATAAGGTGGATTAAACTGATGATGTTCTTTTTCATATTATCTGTGACGCCAGTTCCAGTCTATCAAAGACTTTTAAATAACTTTTAAGATAATAATGAAGGCAAATAAAACCTATTCTTGTACTGCTAAAACCTTCTGGCAAACTAAAAATCTCTAATGCTCTTTGCCTTTTAGACTCTTTTTAAATGGCTTTTTGAGTACAATCCACTATCCTGTGCCTGGTTTGATGAGTGGCCACTACTTTGAGTGACTCTGATTAGAGCCGCACCCATGTAATTGCTACCACCAAGTCCTAATTTGCACTGAATTCTTACATAAAAGAGAGAGAAACACATTTTAAGGTTACAATATGTAGTTTTTATTGTAGCCTTTATTTTCCATTATTCAAAGAATGGATATTAGAAAAAAAATGAAAAGGTCAAGCAGAAAAAAACTTGCCAAGAAATAAGTATATGTATATATGAAATTTGCATAATATCAGAAATGTTCATACATCTGTCAGCCGATTTACTTATGAAAACCCAGGCTACAGACAAAATGCCACATTGTCTTATTTGTTGATCAGAGTATAAGATGACATGCAGTATATTTATAGAAGGGTAACAGAAAACAATTTATTAATGCTTAAGAAACAAGAAAACAAGTATGTCATGATTTGGTAGACAACTGCATTATAAGTCTAAAATATATTCCATGTTCTCATAATTTCCGCTTATCTGAATATTACTGTATTGAATCAAGTCAGTAAAACCCTTTCAGTAAGATTTAATGTAAAAACAATCATAATCAAGATCATAATCATAATTTACTGAATCATAAGTTTAAAACGTGATCCTCAGAATGTTTTATATTCCCCCTAATGTTGCCTTTGGCTTTCAAGACAGTCTCAAGTTTTCAAAACTCATAAGTTGCTTTGATTAAAGTCTGTATTTTAAGGCATGTATTTCTTTGCCTTCAACCTGGGAATGATCTGCATATCTCTGACATCATTGTGCTGTAGCAGCCAGCATAGGTATCTTTCTGTGCCCATACCCCATCCACTTGTAGACAGAGGTATGATTTGCCTCATGTTCATGTACCATTTGTATGACTCTTCTGGTACAGCATGGTGTCGTAAGGCCTCTTGTACCATCTCAGGGGTAGAGTGTCTTTCCCCGAGCCCCACCGTCTCCCCCAACCCCAAGAGCAGATCAGCTGCCTTTGCTTTCTTTCTGCCAGAGCCTTCAACATAAGCTTGGTAGAAGGGCACGCCAAGGTGATCCATTTCAGTCAACCAAACAGCGCCACCATACTTTTCAATCAGAACTCTTTCTCCTTTACGGGTTAGCTTTCTTCCAAACTGTGGCTGCCCCTCTTGTACCCATTCAAGACAGTCAGCAGAGGGCAACATTGTAATGGCTTGGTCCAGAGTAACTCTCGGAAGTGGTTCCTCCAGCTGCTTCAGCATGGCTTGTACATGGAACAGTGTTCCTGCTGAACTCTCGATGATCTTGGAGTGGTTCCTTAACATTGCCTGAGTCAAGTGAGCCACAAAACCTTCTGCTATATTGATAGCATCATCCATATCACCAAGTAGCTCACACTCAATATGGTAGAACTGATTCAGATGAGTAGCATCAGGATCCTCTCCTCGGAAACTGGGAGACACATAGTATGTCCCTGGAAGTCCTTCCTGGAAACGCAAGAAATATTCCAGCACAAATTGCATGGAGTCTGCCAAGTACACATCTTGACCTAGCATATTAACGAACACAGGCTCTGAGTCTGACCCCAGGCCCATTGGTGATGAAATGGTATCAGTTGTGATGGGCGTAAGAGCATATGCATACTTGCATTTGTTACTAAAGTACTCAACTGTGCTGTGGAACAGTGTATTTTGGATCTGAAAGAGATTGCGGTACCACTGGCTCTTGATGGCTAATGTGGAGTGGCTTTGGGGTTGTTCCCAGGTGCGAGGCGGTGTGGTCTTTGTGATCTTGGTGTGAATGTCTTTCAGAACCTCTGCAGATGCTGGAGGACCATCTGCTGAAGTTACATATCCAGGGTAGGTGGGACAGAACTCAAGAGGCACTGCAGGCAGCATTTCTCCAGGCTTTGTGACAAGTGGAATCAGCTTGGCATGGGCATAGTCAATTTCAAACCCCTCAGATATTAGAGCCACTCCTCGAGCACCCATCCCTTCTTGTAGAAGTTGAGCCACCTTCTGTGTTGCCAAGACCAGTGCTGTGTAATCACTCCTGGCTAGACGGAAGATGTCACTTGTTAGTGGCCTTCGTGGCACCAAAACTGTAAGGCCAGGTGTATTAGGGAAGGGGGTCAGAAAAGCTACATGTTCATTGTCTTCCCACACACGCCACTGTTGCTCCTCCCCTCTTACAATGCGTGAAAAAAGGCCATGATTTGATGGATCTCCATAGAAATCATAGCAGGATGGAGCATTGGGTGTTGGGAGGCAAGCCCTTATCTTTGACTGGACCTGGTCGAGGTATGCATCCTCACAGCGTGGGCCACTCTTGGAACTGCAGTAACCAGGATCATGTATGTGGAATTCCTCTTCCTCAGCAAGATGAGGCTTCCAGTTGGGTTCTAGTCCATGGATAGGCAAGATTTTAATATGAGCAGGTTTGTCTGGCTTGGGCATGGACACAAGGGCACAGCGGTACACACGAAGTTTCTCACAAAGCAAATTAGCAACTGTTTGCGCCCCTAGTAACATTGCCATATAGTCAGGCATCGGTAACTGAAAGATGCTATTTGGTCCATTTAAAGCCTTTCGAGTGAGAATTGTGGTTCCTGGAGTCCAGGGTTCAGGATGCAAGTGTGCTATTAATTCATCAGTTTCCCAGATCACATACGCAAAGCTCATAACAGGTCTGAAGACTTCAGCTCGAGCAACCCCATCGACCATGGAAGCAACAAACATCACTCCAGCATTAGTTTCGACTGCAGCTTCACCTTTATGGTCAACTGCAATGATTCCAGCACATTTTGCCCCTACATCCTCATAAATCACTTCGCGACAGGCCTGTGCTAGAGTGTAGCCTTTGAGGTTGTATAGACTTGCCACTTTATGAGCAACTGTCTCACGTAAGAATGCATCGCCATCTCCTGAGCATGTCACAGCAAGTTTCTTGTCAGCATATATTCCAGCTCCAACAATTGCAGTGTCACCAACTCTTCCTTTCCACTTGCCTACTAACCCCCCAGTTGATGTGGCTGCTGCTAGTTTGCCCCAGCTGTCCAGAGCAACTGCACCTACAGTTTGAGGATGGTTGTTTTTACTGCCGCTTAGTTTCATAGCAAGCTCCTTGTATCTGATATCAGTGTGAAAGTACTCTGCTGTCATTGTTTTTTCTCTTTCCTGGAGACTCTCTAGAAACTCCTCAGCTCCATCTCCTGTCAGTAATGAGTGTACACTTTTTTCCATCACATGTCGAGCTGCTTTGACTGGGTTTTTCACACAATGCACGCAAGCCACTGATCCAGAATTCTTTCCATGTCCATCGACAATGGTGGCCTCCATCTCGTGTTGGCCATTTCGGTTGTATACAGATCCCTTTCCTGCATTGAATAAGAAACAATCTTCCAAGGCAGACACACTTCTCTGTACAGCATCCAGACTGCTGCCTCCATGGCTTAGCACTTGTGCTCCCAGAGTTAGTGCTGTTTGAAGGGCAAATTCAATGACCTCAACCACCTTATGACTCAGCATCATTTCCTCACCAGCTCCACCGTGAATTACTAAGGTGAAAGATGGCTTTTCTGCAGGCTCAGACTCCAAGCATCCTTTTTGCTTGACATTCTTTCCTCCTTTTGGATCTACATCTTTGGTGTCCACTGCAGTGTTATTGATTGATCTTTCCTCTTCTTGCAAGAGGCACTCAATGGCTCCCATCTGCCCTGCAATTGCATACCTTACTGCCAGAAGCATCACCAGCTTAAGGTTTAGTTCAAGACTCTTTGCAAGTTTTCCTAAGATGCTGGCAAAGGTACCCTTTCCATTCAGCACAAGACGGACCTTGTCCTTCTTTCCCAGGTAAGTGACAGCTAGCTGGTTAGTAGCATACACATTACCCACAGCACACTCCACACCTTCCATTAGATCTGAGCCAGTGAGGTAGATGGATGGGCATCCAAAAAGATCCAGATATTTCTTGAGTGGGTTGTCTTGAGACATACTCCTGCGCAAGACAGCTAAATGAGGTCCTACACCATGACCACTTTTTGTCATTTTGATAAGATTTTTGTGCTCCAGGAATGCCAGGTGGAACTGGCGGAAGAGCTCCTTGGTGTACCGAGGAACATTGTCTGGCCCAACGCAGGATTCCAAGGCTGTTACAAGTTTACGAGACTGCATCGTGACAGAATAAGTTGGATCACAGCGGCCATGTTTGTAGTGTCGCATATGAGTGGGAGTCACCATGATGTGGCTGGCAGCTGTTTCTCCAAAGATTTGCTTTAGAGAGAGCTGCAGAGTGAAATTGATCCATGCATCATACAAACCTCTGTGACCCCTTAGGGTGGTGAAAACATCTGGAAAAGATGAAACCTCAAATGTGATGACAGGGTTACTCACTTGTAGATGGCTATTAAGCCATCTTGGCATGTTTACACCATCTAGCGGAAATTTTAGAGCTTTTGGATGTGAGGATGCAACATCTGACCCATTTATCAGTGTCTGAGTTTTCATATGCTCTATGTTTTGGGACTCTGAAAGGTGCCACATTCTTTCGACTACAAGGCCAGCCACCATGCCATCCAGGGCACTGTGTTCAAACACCATGCCAGCGATGCTGTCTTTGAACACCACCATGTTTACCACCTGTGGAGTGAAAAATTGTAGTAATAGTTTAGTATCTGGGTATCAATGAATTTGAACAATTCAAAGGCTCTGAACATAAGAGACTGACGCTTGTGCTTTAGAACCAGTAAGGTAGCCTTATAGGTGCATTGAGCGATATTTCAGAATTTTATTTGCAAAATTGGCAAAAGTGCTTCAGTATACATGTAAGAACAAACTTGTACATGTAAGAACAAACTAGGGGGATTTAGTAAACAACTTAAGAAGACATCCTTTCTGAAATAAGTCAATAAATGTTTACATTTCGTTCTACACTAATCCCATATCCTAGTTAATTACCAAGTCTTTTTTTAACATACCTTGTCATAGTACCTCAGGCATTGTCCGTCATCCCCTCCCAAACGGACAGCATTAAGAATATCAGCCAGATTGGTTGGTGCAGGGCAGTCTTCCAGTGAAAGAGCCAGAATGGCACTCTCTATCACTTCTAGAGATTCTGCTGCCTCACCGCCACCGTTCAGTATCTCCTTTCTGATAGCATGCCAAGTTTGGCGATGGAGAGCAGATAATCCACAGATCGTGGATGGATCCTGCATAGCTTGTGCAGCTGGCAGACACATCACATGAGCTAGCTGGGTGTAGATATCAAGAAGGGGCAAGGCGGTTACTGCGCCTTCTGCACCTGGGCTCCTTAAGATTTCAATGGGAAATATACCTCCTTTGCAGGTCACAATGGCATGGAGGCTTTCTGGATACACCTGAAAAAAAAAACAGACAAGCTAGAGGAAACAATGAAACCCATGCTAGCAGGCTAACATTAATGACCAATAGTGAAAGCCAGAGGCCAGCTCTATGTGGAACATCATGCTATTTGTTGCCTAATAAATTTGCTTCTTATTAGCCATCTTAGCATTTTTTGGAATTGCTTTTTCAGGAGTAAAATGAATACAGTTGTATGCAAAAGTTTGAACACTCCCTGTCAAATGACATATTTTGTTGATTTTCTAAGTGAAAATAAGCTAAGACATCCTCTACACTGAACAAATTTAAATATGCCATTTTTTCTTAAAGTTTTCTTGCACAAAGTTTTTCTTTGCTAATTGTAACATAATGGAACAAAAATATTAAATAACATTTGCACAAGCCAAATTTGATGTTTTCCAGTCTGTTTTCAGATTGGAATTCAGCAAACAAACAGGAATTGTGCATTAAAATGTGCAGATCTGTGTTCTCTGTAGAGAACATGTTAACTCATTTTTTACTTAGAAAATCAACAGAACATTATTTGGCCAGGGGCTTCCAACCTTTTGCACATGGCTGTACTTAAAGGGGAATTACAGTCATTAGGTTATTCAGAGTGGACTGATGTGAAATGCAGCCTTCTAAAGAAACTGACCAAGTCAGAATTGCTCACAGACATCTAAAGAGTTTAATGCCTCTTAAAGCTACTTTACACAAAATTATTACATGAAATGATTAGGAATATGCAGCCCAATCTCTGAAACATTGTTTTATGATTATTTTGAGAGGGTTTGGTCTGAAACTATATTCATGTAGTTTTGTAAACTAGCAGGGCATTCAAAGGCAAAATAGTCTCTAAAAGAAAACTTTTTCAGATTTATTACTATTTTATTATTATCAGCATTACATACAAACTCAGAAGACCTGTCTATGCTACTTGTAGTTTTAAATTGTAAATAAAATGCCTACATTTTTGTTGTTGATGTTACAAGCCCTGGTTCCTTTCACCACCACTGTACAGAAATCTGTAAGTTTCTTTAAAGTTGACCATTTCATACAAAACCATTCTGAATGACTTTACATTTTGAAGACTGAATCATGCATTTTGAAATCATGCAATTTTGAAAAGATGGTGGAATTCTCCTTTAAGGTACATATTTAAACACTGTGGGTGTATGTTTGCGAAGTCTCTGACGTACTTTTAATTGATCCTGGTTCTCTCCTGGTAGGCGACTGGAAGCAAAGACCTCTGACTGTTGTGTGCGCTCTGTTGGTACATCACCCTCAATAAGCCAGGGCTCACTATACAGCTTGGCTGCAGCCCATAGCAGAGCTGAAGCCCTCTCTAGCTGTGCACTCTCTCCCTTGGCCTTGGATGGAGGCAAGACAGAGGGGATGGCTGTAGAGGTGGGCAGAGGGTCACAGCAGGAGAGGAGTCGCTTTTTGAACTGCTCGGTCACCCAGTTCTCCTTGCCGCTGGCGCTGGCTTTCAGCTTCTCCTGGGCCTCCTGAAGTGCCTCTGTCTGCTGGGAGAGGGCATGTTTATACTGGACATACTCCTCAGGGCACAGAATGAGCTGAAGCACACGGCTTGCTTCTTTTATGGTGGTGTCCAACTCTGGAATGGGGTAATCGAGTAGTGCCATCCTGAAGAGGAGATAAGAATTTGATTTATCGCCCACACATGGGATTTTCTAAGGAGGCTCATTATCACCAGGCACATAGTAAAACATAGTAATTTCACTAACTTCATTTTTTTTGGTTTACTTTACTGTTTTGTTAAAATTACTATTGCTATGTTAAATGTGAAGTTTGGATGCATTTTACATTCTGTTGTTATTCTCACCATGATCGTGTTTTGTGTTTAGGTTTACCAGTTCAGGCTATCACTATAAATGCTTACAGAATGGTAAATATGCATTAAGCTGTCAGAGTCCCCAGAAATGAGTGACTCTAGTCTTATTTCAGCCATTTATTTATCACTGTACAAAACAGTCCATTTAATATAACAAAGTTGTTTTAACTGATGGTAATACGTAATACAAAGAAGAATACCAATTCAAGATGATCTAGCTAATTAAAGGATAAGCAGAACTTGTTAAGTTATTTATGTTTTTTTTTTTTGAGGCAAAAAGTTTGCATGATTTTTAAAGTCAATGTAAGAGTAATAAAAAAATGATTGTTTTCTCAAAATTTTGATCTATGTTCGAATAATGACTTATTAGCTCCAACTAATTAATTGAATTAGTATTTTAAAGTTATTTAAAGTACTTTTTTTCTTAAAATTGTGACTTTATATCCTGAAATAATGACTTATTTTCTCTAAATATTGATTATCTCAAAATAATGACTTATTTTCTCTAAATATTGACTTAGTATCTTGATATAATGACATATCGACAGTAAATTCAATATTTGAGAACAAAGTACTTTAAATAACTTTAAAATATTAATTCATTAATTAATTAGTTGGACATAATAAGTAAAAATAATGCAAACTTATTGCCTCAAAAAAAAAACATAAATAACTTAAATAAATAATAAGTAATAAACATAAATAAATAAGTTCTGCTTATCCTTGAATTAGCTAGATCATCTTGAATCAGTATTCCTCTTTGTGTTATGTATTACCATCAGTTAAAACAACTTTGTTATATTAAATGGACTGTTTTGTACAGTGATTATTTCAAGATATAAAGTCACAATTTTAAGAGAATAAGTCTTTAGTTTAAGATATTAAATCAATATTTTAAGAAAATAAGTCATTATTTCAAGACACTGAGTCAAACTTTGACATACTGCTGCCAGAAACAAAGAAGCCCTAGTGGTAATGGGCCGCCATCGTTCTCTATGTCCTACCAGAATCTATTTTTCTGTCAATTCAAATACAGCATACACATTAAAAGAGAAAAAGAGCTTAAAAGTCAAAAATACAAAGAACATCAAATAAGATGCACCTAATAAATGTTAGTTTGTGACATCCATTAATTCACCATCCTTTCTATACGTATATGTATTTGTCAGAATGTAATACAGTGAAAAGGTCATGTGCTACAACTGACAACAGCAGAAAATGACTATGTACTGTAGGTTAATCGAGGTTGAACATACTGTGTAATGGAGGAAAATGTGACTGAATTATAAAGCATGTGTAAATTATTAGAGCTGTATTTTCAGAGCACATGTGACCTGCTGCGTCTTCATTGTTCAGGCTGTAATTCAATCAGTTCATTACTGTCTCCAAAGCAGTTACCTTGTTTTCCCAACAAAAGGATCATTTTAAGACAGGAATGCACCCTGAATTTTGCAAAGTGGGATAGAATACCTCTGTGGTCACTAACTATAAAGATAGTCTATGGCTGTTCTCCTCACGTGCTTAGAAAGAGGCTCTAAATTTTCCTAACTTTTTTTCTTTTTAAAGCAATTCATTATAATGAATTTAACATGGTGTTTGTGTTGCCAGTTGTCATGGGAACAGGTCTCATGCTTCATGACCCAAGTAGTGTAATGTGATTTTGTCTGATTGACTGTAACAGCCCTCTGTATGATACTTATAGTGATACCTTCCACCCCCCCCCCATTATTTTAGCTATGCATTCAAAAGTTCATAAGCAAGTTCAGCCTAGGTTATGACTGTAATCAGGTGAGGTTAGTGATTGTTACTGAATATAATCTTCATTGTGTTCTTAGCCTTACCTCAATTTCTCACAGCATACCATTTTGTTAAGAAACACCATTTGAAACTAACTCCATTTAAAATTAATAGCAAAGTTTTCAAAGAAATAACCAAGAAATCTCTCAGACTTCTGGAGCTGTCAATGCAATTTCTCTGATTTAATCAAATGTACTTTATAGCATAAAAGAACATTCTCGCATATCACAATGTATGTTGTTGCTGTCGGAACAACACCGTGTGTCTCTGGTAACTTTTCAGGAGGAGGATTTAACATTATTTAATGTACATTGATAAAAAACAATAAAAAAATATAATGCACACAAATGCAGCTAGAGTAATTTTGTACTCTTTCTATTTGCTTATTAGTTGTGAAATTTTCACGCATTGTAAAATACAGCTGGGACTTTCAAATGATGAAAAAAAGTGCAAAAAATTAAGATAAAAGATTTTATTCCAAAAGCGACAATATAATAAATTACGTCTTAATACATATTGTTTCATTTTTAAACCATTTTACAATAATAAACTTCAGTTTTGTGGCTGTTGAAGAGACCAAACTCACATATACCTATGCAGTGAGTAGACAGTACTGAACTTTAAGCTTCCAAAACATGCAGTAAGTACACATTTTTTTTAACATAACCCAAATTTGACAGTATTTCTTCAGCATGAACCTTTACTATCATAGACAGCACTCTTTAACCCATGCTACCGTTCACTGTCACAAACTATTATTAATATTGCTCAATTACTGATGGATTTCATACAGTGCAAAACTACATACAGTTGTGGTTCCCATATCCTACATACATTTTAATCTTTATTCACTGATTTCCCATGTTACAACAGAAAAAGATCACTTTAACCAACAATGCGGTCATATTGTTGATAAGTATGGGTAGAAGGAATATTGAAATATCACTTATGCAGCATTATACAGCATTAAAGTGTAAATTTCCACTCACCTCAGATCAGAAGCGACTCGCAGAAGCGTATGGTGTGCTGAAAGAAACTCAGTGCGCGACAAGTTTTCTTGTGGCGAACAAACAAGAAGAGGGCTGTAATACAGAACCAGTGATTCCAATCAAGGAATTCAATTTCCCTTCTCCTGATAGAGGCTCGCTGTGTCATTGGCCAGGCTGTCACACTGGCATTCTTCTCTCCTACCAGAAGCTACTTTAGAGAACAAGTCTGGAATTTAGTAAAGCAAAGCTGGGCTCACTAGTTACTAACATTCACAGTTCTATCTGCACTACATTGTTTTATCAGTGCATCTCTAATGGAAACCTTAGATGAACCTCTATAAGAGTGAAACACTAAGCTGGAACATATCCAGGCAGAATTATTTCATAATTGATGTGGTCCAGTGTTATTAATAAAGAATGAATATTACTTCATACTTCCTGTAACGTATGTTTTGTTTTTGTCAGTACAATACAGGCTATGATGCTTTGAAGCCATGAGCTGTGGATCTGAACCTCATTATTCATACATTAGGAAATCCTCTAGGTCATCTCAATTTTAGCCTAACAATTTAATGCAATATAGGCTATTTGCCCTTTTTGGTGCACTCTGTAATCAGGTTTCCGGTAAAGTTCGCTTAAGTATCATTATTCCACTAAACGTGTAAGCTGTTAGAAGCCAGAATTTGTTGGGGAGCTATGAAAACCTCATGTGACTAACTGCAGGGCTGTTAGTCTGCTCTTTCACTGTCATCATGTGATCCAGTGCCTGGGAACTGGCTACGGTTTTCCATGACTGACTCAAGATTCAGCCTCCTTGTATCTTATATTGTAGTGGCAGTTGGCTTGTAGCCTGCTGTGCGAGGCCTAGATGTACTTCTGACTCTTTGTGTGAGGCTATTCTGACTTTTCTATGCTGTAAATTAAGATGCAAGATAGTAACTATTTAGTTGGCTGGATTTGGTTTGTGTAAGGAAAGGTGTAGATGGTTTTGGATGGACTGTTAATTTAATTTCTCTATTTAGTATTTACTCCCAATAGCCTTACTTTATGATAACCTTACGTATTATGTGATTGTAAAGCTGTATATATGATCTGTTTTCGTAGAACTCGCCACCACTTGATACGCTCAGAATGTATACCCCTCTAGTTAACTCGTTTGGCATGGTGACCTTAGGCACATGTGCAGCTGCTCTAGAGCCTCCCATTCTATTGGCAGCACTTTCATTATTATTATTTTTTTTCATTTCTGACCTTGTTAGTTCATGTCACGATCCATGTTAGGCACAATTTATCATATCATACCAATTGAACAACATAAATAACTGAAGTGACTTTTCCTGCCTCAAAAACATATTCACAGTTTAAGTTTCATCACTGTCCAGGCACACAGCTGGAACTATGCTCCACAGCTATAGGCCTCCCAGGCAGAGAGGGATTTTACCCTCTCATTCCTGGCTTCCTGGGCCAGCCGCTTGAGCTGTGCTACACCACAGAAACGTGGCTGCCTGGGCTGGCTGCCTGTGTGACACTACACTGTAGTTACAAGGCCTCCCAGCCAGAAAAGGACATTCGCCTCTTTCTGGACCAGCTAAGTGACTGTGTACTGTGGTCTGAGGAGTCAGCAGGGGAAATGTGTGTGTTGTGGGTTGTTTTGTTTACAGTTGGTTGTGCATTTTGTTACTATTGTAAAGCATCTTTGGGTTTGATAAAGATATAGATATATATATTGCTATATAAATTAAACATATTATTATTATTATTATTATTATTATTATTATTATCATCAAATGAAAATTGCTCAGGTAGCTTAAAGACCCTTCCTGATATTGTGATTCACTTGGAAATAAGCCCTGGATAAGAAGGAAAATGTGTTATACTTTATGATTCTCAATGACTAACCAGCAATGGCTTTGTAGCCTGACTGTGTGGCCAGGATATGCAGCCAAATGACTTCTGGTATTAGACTATTTTGATTTTTCTAGATCATAAATGTAGGAACATTAAAATGATAAGTGCTACTTTTATATGGAAAGGTGTAAATTCATTCCATGAAAAGAGCAAAAGAGCAAAGAGGCATTTGTACATGTCTTTATAGACATCCACTTTACATCAAACATTTGCTGTAGTGAGGGGAAACATTTATTCAGACACTTTTGTTTTTTCTTATTTATCCTAATATTCTTCCAGTCCATATATCCCCTTAAAACTGACATACATAATGTCCATCCATCCATCCATCCATCATCTAAACCGCTTATCCTTCTGGGTCGCGGTTGGGTGCTGGAGCCTATCCCAGCTGTACATAATGTCTAATGATAAAACTTTATTCATGTTGGGTATCTTATTCTGTTATTATTATTATTATTATTATTATTATCATCATCATCATCATCACCTGCACTTATACCAGTAATAGTCTGTTTTTATAATCAATGCTTAAAAGTCTCCTAAGCCCAATCTCAATTGACTCCCTGCTCCCTACGTAGTGCACTAAATACCGACTTCTACACTCAAATAGTGCATTATTTATCTACAGAAAGCCTTTTGGGATTCAACCATAAGCTTCTCCTCGTTTAAGCTTTAGTGCACTAGTTTAGTGTAGAAGCCATAGTTAATGACGTACCTAGTGCACTACGTAGGGAGTAAGGTGCCATCTGTACGCCCCGGAAGTAAATATCTGTTTCCGACGAGAAGGCGTTCACGTTCCTGTGTGCTCAGTAACGACCCCGCGGCTAAAGCGGTGAAAGTCGCTGCTTTAAAAACACCGATTTATCAAACGTAAGTTTTCAGACAACATTATTTAAAACGCGTACGTTTCCTACATTTATAATGTAGCTGCGGTTTGTTAAACGCCCCGGCTTCTTTACGCGTTAGAGGTCATTTGAACGCGCTGCTGTCTGGTTAGCCGGTTAGCGGTTTGAGGCATGATCAAGCTGCAGTGGGTTTATAAAGACTCAGTGTGATTAGAGGGTTAAGTAGATGTTTTATTGTATAAATAATTAGTCGGAAAGCTACTTTATGTAGATCCGTTAGTGTAGGTTAAGATAAGTCCTCTTTGTGGAGGGTTTTTGCTTTGTAGAAAACAAAACCCTTTAGCAGAGGTGAATGCATGTTCATGAGCTTTTTAAGGAGATGAATTCGTGCCAGATTGAACAGCCATCTCTACAGTGGAAAACGTGAAATGCAGAGCACACATGATGCTTTTCCACAGTGACACTGTTTTCACGTAGTTTGAACTCTTGCCTTTAAAAAACTGCATGATGATTTGCATATTGAAACAAAATGCTAAATTCTTGTCTGATTCGTATACAGTCGACTTCACAAATGTAATAAAGCCATGACTATATTACTTTTCACGTTAGGCACGTTTTCCGCATGTTACTCTTGTGCATTGCATTTCACTATTTTGGTGCATTTAAATTCTGTAACTTATGTAAACATTTGAAGTACTAAAAAGAGGCCAGGCTGTGTGAAAACAGTGTGGTAGAGGTTTTGCTTTTCAGTTTGGCACGAATTCCGCTCCGTAGCTGTCGTGTATCATCGGATATTTTTATTCTTCTTATAAATATTATGAGATATGTAGTGTGAAGATTTCAGTGTTCCTTTACTAACATGTAATTTAGTTGTGTTGACTGCTGTTCATCTGCACATTGTCATGAATAAATCATGAGAGAAGAGGTTTGTTGAGTTGTGAGGACTGGAACACGGTTAACTATCTGGTGAATTTCAGTGGGTCTAAATACAGGATCTGATCAAATATAAAATCTTTCAAGCAACTTTCACTTGCGCCCTGAACAGCTTAGCTGTCCATAAACCTAAAAGTGAGGTGTTGCTAATGCTGCTGCTGAGTAAGAGCCTTAAAGGAACCAGAGGTTGTGTTGTCTACAACACAAGCATAGCCATTTTATATGTAATGTTGATAAACAGTGGTGAATCTGAAATAATGTTTTTTGGGTACTATTTTGGTTTCCCTGCATGTATGCCATGCGTTCTAAAGTGGCAGTATATGCATGTTTAGTACACTAAAGGGCCAAAAGTATGTGGACACACTCATAATTCATGTGTATATGTATAAAGGTACTGTACATGTGTGTGTATATATAATGGTATGAACTTCATGCCTAGCTGTATGGATTGTCATTCAGATTTATTCATTACATGGCTCTGATATGTATGTGAATGGCAAAGAAGATCCATTCTACTAAGTGAAAGGACTAAGTGTAAATCCAGCTTCATGTTGTTAGAGACTTTGATGCTTTCTATCTGGTACTTTTAGGGCTGGCCTGAATAATACTTGAGTATTTGTCCAGTATGTTGGTGTTTATGTTAGCTTTGTCTTGAGTTCTGAGTATTGAGAAGGATTATTCAAGTGCTTTTTCAGAAATGTATAGTATTCAAAGACCGTAAAATGCTGTTGGACCATTGGACTGCATTCGGTCAAACAGAGGCCATCTTAACACTGACATTTTCATTAAAGGGGTAAAAATATCCAGTCACTGATAAATATAAATGTATAGGCATAGTCTGAATCATAATCTGCATCCGTATGAAGAAATGTTTAGTGTGAATATACAATAAAAAGTATAAGAGAGAAATTTTTGAAAATCTCTGTAAACAAGACCATTGGTAACCCCATTACTTTGTTATGTAACCTTTGGATTTCTTGATGCGGTTGAACTTTAAACTGTCTACACATTTGAAGGGCCCATAGTCTATATTTAAGAAAGAGGTTATTAATACCAGTCCTGCCAGCCCCATGCTGTGTACATTTTATTATGTTTTCGCTACTCTATGTACCTGACCCAGCTAATGAGGATCTTAGATAATGTGTTGAATCAGGTGTGGCAGATCCAGACTGAGACCACCTGTTTTGGTCCTTTGGTCTGGACTGTGGTCCGAGGCACCTTATATGCCTGCTATTTTGGTTCGGACCAAACAAGGCAGGTGTGAATGTAAACCAAGTCAGTTAAAGTGGCTTGATGTGAGACAAATGTTCTTTACTAGAGAAAATTCCAGAGTCAGAATTGTTCACAGTGGTGGTGATAAGAACCAGAAAGGTTTCTCGTAAAACATTTTTTTTAAGTGAATGGTGGAGAGGTAAATGCATGGCATTGTATGGAAAAATAATACCCAAAAAAAACTGAATTTACTGCTACTTTACTACATTTGAATTTCTAGTTTTTTCAGTTGTAGAGAAAATGCATGACTTTGTTTACTCTCAGTGATTGGATTATACAGAACTTAGTAAAATCCCAGTGTGAATGGGCTGGGCTAGACTTATGTCATCTGAGAAGACGTATATTTGTAAATCTGTTGGTTTTTGAGACAGCACAAAAATGATAAATTCAAAATGGGCTGTTTGTGTGCAAAGTGGTTATAGAATGGTTTTGAAACATTAGCAATGGTTACATACTATATCACAACTCTTATTAAAAAAAGTGAAAAATGCAGTTTGTTGCGATATGAGCCCTTTAACTTCTCTCAGCAACACTATACTAAATTCACATGCTTCATTTTTCTGATCCGTACTGTGTCATAAATCCTACAGGTGTGTGAGTGAGACGCTTGTCTCTGCCCTGTGTGAGCTCTCCCTGATGGGCGGCTGGTCTCGCAGTGCCGTGCTGGAGCTGTACAGAGCGCTGCTCCGTGCAGGGCGCCACCTACAGTACACTGACCGCAACTACTACCAGCGTGCTGTGACCCAGGAGTTCAGGCGCTGCCAGGCCCTCAGCGCTCCGGGAGAGAAGGAGGACGCCCTGAAGAGAGGCCAGTTCTTTCTCAGCAGTCGCCTGGGGGGGCTGGTGTAGCAGTGGAGGGAGGAACACAAAACCCAGCCAGCACCACCATACTCCAGTGTCTAAACAGCAGAAGGTATGCTGGATTATACTGTAAAGCTCTTGTCCATGAAACGTGGACATGAACCAAATATGCCCCCTGAGGCAATGTTGGGTGATATTTATTCTCCCAAGAGGTCTTTAAATAACTTGGTAGACAATATTATCTTTTACACAAGTAAAAAATAAGACACTCTCTACAAAGAATCTAGTGATTGCTTTTTTTTTTTCATTTCTGACATTTGTAGGCTCTTTGGATCTTTCGATAGTGGCTGTTGGTATCTAAACATGTTCATAGTTGTACGGCAGCAAAGGTTTCTGATGGCGTAAAAATAAGGGCTTTGGTCAAGACTGGTGACATTTGTGGTGATATTATCAAGTTGCTCAAGCCTACCCTTGAACTTAAAATTTCTCTGTAGAGTAGTAACTACACTGACAAGCCAGAACATAATGACCACCTGCCTAATGTGCTGTTGGTCCTCCACGACCTGCTTAGGCATGAACTCTGTAAGATCTCTGAAGGTGCCCTGTGGTATCTGGCATCAAGACATTAGCTGTGGAGCCACCGCTGATCAGAGCTGTTCCAGCACATCCCACCAATGCTCGATTGAATTGAGTTCTGGGGAATTTGGAAGCCAACAAATTGAGCTCTTTGTCATGTTCCTCAAACCATTCCCAAACAATGAGTGCGTATACATGCACTTAGTAATCCAGTCATAATTGGATTTCTGCAGTTATCCGATTATTCAAATTGTCATGTAAACACCATACTCCGATCTAGAAATCCGATTAAGAAATCCGATAAAGAGAGCTGGATTTTAGCTCAATAATCAGACTTCTTAATGCATGTATACTCATACTTCGATTTCGCGGTCTGTGCATGCGCGAGAACAGACGGTGGATGTCGTGAGACATTAATCTTCTAGATTTTTCATTTTTTCAAGTAGTCATGTAATGCTGATGTGGGGAAAAAAAACACCTGACAAAGTATGTTATTGTTTATTGTGATCATGCCATCATCTCACTTTCATTTCAGCTTCAGCTTGTACAGTGTAAAAAGTGGAACGGAGCAGAAGTTGATTTGAAGTCTTCGAAATGGTAAATATTAGTTTTGTTCATGTGAAATAAAAAATTGGAATTGCAATGTTTCAAAGTATTTGAGTTGAATAAGTCTAGATAAATTGCTTGTTCATGCAGGAAGCTTTTTTTAAGGTTGAACAGACAACCCATGTTTTTGTCACTTTTTTTTGTCACAAAATAAAATCATGTTATGCACGTGCAGGACAATGGCATAAATATCTGACAATATCAGTCACATTTATGGGAGGGGAAAAATTTTAGTTCTTTCATTTTTTCAGAAAGGTGTGAATAGGATGGCTGGAGTCAATGGGGATCGGAAGGGGAAGAAAGACGACAATGGCATCGGCTCGGCCATCGATTTTGTGCTGTCCAATGCTAAGCTAGTGCTGGGGGTTGGAGGAGCAGCCATGCTGGGCATTGCCACACTGGCAGTTAAGAGAGTGAGTAACTCACATTAGCCTTGTTTTATCACCAATGCTACTTGTTGATGTTTACTTTTTTTACTCTTGTTCCGAAATTACATGTAAAGTACTGTTAATGAATGGGCCTAATGTTAATTTATAATAGGCAATATATACTTTTGTCATTTATGACTGTTAAGCCTTCTATTTACCAACGGGCTGAGAACTACTGTACCACAGGTAAATAGTATGTCCAGTATGCTCACTCTTGTGTTTGAATTCCTCTCATGTGGTTTCCTTTTTTTTTTATCATTTCTCTCAGATGTACGATCGAGCCCTCAGTGCTCCCTCCAGCCCCACTAAAGCCACACAGTCGGGTAAGAGGAGCTGGGAGGAGCCAAGCTGGCTGGGGTCGTCACCACGGACACTAAACCGCGACATGAAACAGAATGTCAGCCGCTCTCTCCAAACACTCCCCACCTCCTCCAACTCGTTTAAGCCAGGTAACCATTCTACCTACATGATGATGTATTTGAAGCTGCTGTTTAAGTGTGAGAATTATGCTATGAAACAGAACTATTTGATTAGTGAACTAGCTTGAGATTTGATCTAAGGTGGATACCATTGCAGTGCCAAATTAGTGACAATAGATTCTCCTTCTAGCATCTTGCGTGACGTGAATGGCATGGTTTTGTCAGTGTTATGTAGCAGCGTTCAAGTAAAGTGTTGCAGATGCTTCTAATGTATGTCTATATTTACTGCTAGGTTTGAAAACAATGGAATGGCTGTTCTTCATTTACAGTGGGTATTTAAACCCATATGTTGTTTGGTTTATAGTATAGCACTCTGTAGCCACCCTGTATCAGTCACTAAAAGGCTTTTGTGTTTTTGTGCATCGTGGTAGTCATTTTGTGAGTTTTGTCTATATTTAGATGGTTGAACTGACTTCCCTGATTTTGCCCTGGTTGCATAGTTTTTATGTTGGTACAAAACACTACTTTTTCATCTTTCTAATTACTGTAGTTATACTGTATATAGGTTTAGCAAGTTATACCTTCAATACGTGTGATTTATCGTCTATGCTTAAGTATAATAGTATGTTCTGCACAATTTTGCTGGTTTCTACAGCTCTAAAATGCTTGATTCTGCCTTTTGCTACCTTGCTTATGAGCTAAATTAGGCATATTTAATAAGCGAAAGCACAGATTACAGGTTTAAAATGAGAACCACTGGGATAGAAATTCTCTAGCTGTTTAAACTTGTGCTGCAGACCTCATATTTCAAGCACAGTCTATGTGTCATGCTGTGTGTATTGTATCCTCAGATTATTTGCGGCGGGCTGTCGGTCGTGAAGGCAGCACCAGTAAAGCTGACCTGCAGAGGGCGCGATTGCGCCTGTCATTGCAGGAGCACCTCTGGGCCTTTTTTCATGAACGCGTGGCCATTCCTGCTGAGGAGCAGGCAATGGCCAAACGGGCCGCCCTGGACATTTGTGCTGAGCTCCGTGTCTTCCTCCACGCCAAGCTTCCTGACATGCCCCTCCGGGAGATGTACCTCAGTGGCAGCCTGTATGATGACCTACAGGTGAGGAAGGGAGAAGACAAACTTTTTTTTGGTCGTTTTGGTTGTTATTATTATTATTATTATTATTATTATTATTATTATGGTAATCTGTGTTAGCATATATAATGGGCCACTTGTTCCTTTGTAGGTGGTAACAGCGGATCATGCTCAGCTCATGGTTCCCATGATCCTGGAAAAGAACCTGTGGTCATCCATCCCTGGCGAAGACACTATCATGAATATTCCTGGTTTCTGGCTCGTCCGCCGGGAAAACCTGGAGTACTTCCCCCGGGGCAGCAGCTACTGGGATCGTTGCATGGTGGGTGGGTACCTTTCCCCCAAAAGTGTTTTGGAGGTCTTTGAGAAACTTGTTGCTGGTTCCATTAATTGGCCAGCTATCGGCAGTGTTCTGGATTACATCATTCGACCCGTGGTTCCCTCAGAAACACTAACGCTGGAAGTGCAGTATGAGACGGACCGGCGGTTGTACGTGGACTTCCTTCCGTTGCTTGTCATGGAGGACGGTGTTTCGTTGATTGCCAAACCACACCGGCTGGCTGCTGAGCGGCACGAAAACCTGTGGCGGCAGAGTTTTCGTGTGGCAGAAACAGCAAAGCTTCGCGCTCTCGATCAGGAGGACAGTGGGTGTCGCTCTGCATGTCTGAAAGTCGTTAAAGCCGTTTGTAAGCTAAATCCAGCACTAACACGGCTGAACGCCAGTCAGCTTACCAACGCAATCCTCCTCCTCAGTGAGCGAGAGGGTGACTGGACTCAGGAAGCACTGGCAGATCGTTTTACACAGCTGCTGCGTACGCTAGTGGGACACCTAGAGGCTGGAACGCTGCCCTCTGCCCTCAACCAAAAAGTGAACCTGTTCTGTGAGCTAACCCCACATGAAATAGACGAACTCGGATACACGCTCTACTGTGCTCTTTCAGACCCGGAGAGCTTGCTGAGCACTGTATAACATGCACTCACACGTTACTTTAGCCCCTCACTGCTAAAGTAAGATGCTGCTTGCCTCATCAGTGTTGAACAGCTTTGCACATTCATTGTTTCTTGTTTTTCTGTATAAACATGGCTGTTCATAAACCAGTGGAAACAATAGACCAGGGTTGCCCAGTTCTGATTTTGGAAGGCCAGTGTTTAGCACATTTTGGTGATTGCCCTCCTCAAGTGTGTACTAAGGCTCAAAACTACCTGCTTAGTTGAATCAGATATGGAGGAGCAGGGAAATCAGCAAGCTGTGCCAGAACTGGAACTGGACTCCCCTGCCATAAACACTTACCTCGTCTGTGGTAGCATGTCTGTCAGGTCTGCTTAAAGGAATTGTTTGGCGAAAAATCAAATTTACTATTTACTATTTAATTTTTTTCCACTTACTCCAGATGTAGTTGATCGGCCAAGTTTTGTGTCTGAAGCTTGCTTGATTAGTTTAGTGCTGGATCTACAACGCTAATATTGTTAATAATCACCCAAATTCTATAAGTCACCCAAATCTTTTCTGTAATTAAATCCTCAAAACCTCTCTCACCCCACCCAAACTGCTTTAAAGTAGCCTTTTCTGTGTGGTCTAAGACTTACAGTAAGCAATGAAAATGAACAAAACTTGACAATGTAGCCAAATGCTGTAGTCAGCCATTTTAGATAACTGAGTGCATTTACAATTTCTGTTGTTTCTTTATAAAAAAAAATCCATTCATCTTTAAGTTTCTAACGGAACATAAGTTTATAAATAGAAACATCAGATGACAACAAACGTGTGTGTGTGTGGGTTGTAAGTGAATGCAAATGCGAACAGGATCAGTGCTGTTCTCTTGTCTAACATGGTTGACCTCACCATTCAGCTACACTGAAATACGTTTTTATAGTTCACAGTAAGCTGTACTGTGGTCTAAACCACATTGTCAGGTCTGTGCTACATTAATGAAAACCTGGACGTGGTTTGAGTGGGTTGAGAGAAGTTTTGGGGATGTATTTACAGAAAAGATTTGAGTGACTATTGACTTTGTGTTTTTTAGCAACTTTAGTCTTGATGCAAGATTTGGACACCAAACATGTCTTGGTTGATTGACTACATCTGAAGTAAGAAAATGTGTACGTTTGATTTTAAACCATACAATACAGGCAATTTCCATAGATAATTTTAAAGTATTCAGACAAGATCAGAAACACACTGACCCAAAACGCCTGTCCATCGACTATTCTGTGTCTTTTGGGTGAGTAGGCTTTCTGTTCTTTTACTAAATTACAGAGAATAGCATCAGAATTATGGTGCGTTGTAGTGGACCACGTTACCAATGTGGAAGTTAGTGATTAGGTTAAAAACACCAAAGTATGACTTCAACCCCTTGAGACTTGGCTCAGTCCAACCCATTTCAAGCCTTGCTGTCATTGTTGACATTGTTTGCTCCATTGCTCACAAATGTTGCTTCTCTGCTCATGTCAATTGTCAAAGCCTTTAGGTAATGTCCGCATGGCAGAAACTCACCCGTGAGGCTCGTAATTATAAACTGTTGATTGTGCTTTGTTTTAAAATGGGTTTTGCTTCACTGTTTAGGTGATGTGGTCTCTGAAGTATTTATTTTGCTTGTCTGAGAGATTTTAGCCCACATAACCACTCAGGAGAGGCTTGTGTGTCTCTGTTTATTAATTTTACATAGCTTTATTTTCTACATGGAGCACATGTAGCAGAGATGCAGTCATCTTGGATAGCTTTTGTTTGGGGGTTAGAAAATGGCCTTAGTTTTAGAAGGAATGGAAAGAGCCCTAATTTACCAGGATGTTGACCAGGGTGTTGTAGCACAACAGTCATCATTATGCAAATGTCACTTTCCATATTCTGTCCTCCTTATTGCAGTGCTGTAATGCTTTTGGTGAACCCCAACCCAGAAACAGCTGCCATAGTCCTGCAGTTCTTTTTGGAATGATATTGAAGGGACTTTTAGGATTAAAATTTGCCCCGTTGTTGCCAAAAATGTCTTGAATGAATAAAACAATCACACTGGATTCTTGTGTAAACATCTCATTGTCACCAAAAGTCTGTGAAGAACATTGAATCTCGTAGGGTTGTATGCATAGGCTGTTTGCGTGTAATAGTATGCCTTGGTGTTCAAATAGCTCTTTATAAAATGATTAAACTATATATCTAAATTTGGATAAGCTTATGGGACTGTTTTTGAAATAATAAAATCATGCATTTTTCAACATGAAAATCATCAAACTCAGGCAGATCCAAGATTTTGCATTAGAGGTCTGCTACATGACCTGAGGCCAGTGGCAAAGTCTTGGGTTTCGGGCCAGGATTCGGCTGGTTTTTCCATCTACAAAATTGTGATCAGATCACGTTCGGATCTCTAATTTACAAGCCCTTACCTAGGAGTGGGGGCAGGGTGAGGAAGGGGATGGGGGCGGGGGGACTGATTGCCTCAAATATTTAATCTAGACTTGTGTATGTTAAATTCTGAGTAAAAATGTCCAAAGCTGAATCAAAACTTTTGTACTTATCTGGACATTTTTTTATGAAAGTGTGTGATTGAAAAGAAACAAACAGCTAATAAACAGTGTTTGAAAATCATGATAACCATTTGTTTTTTAGTTACGAGTAAATCAAATGTAAATTCAGTCATGTTGCTGTTAAATCTGTCAGGCTATACATGCGTGTCTTGTGGTTGTACTTTACAGCAATTTGGCTCTACTAAAATTAGAAATGCTCAGGGGGCCCCTCTAGAGCACCAATTTGTAATAGAAAAGTCATTATGTAATAAAGTGTGTTTGAACTCTATACTATAGTGGTCACCAACTCTTCTTCCTGGGAGCTGCTTTCCTGCATAATTTAATTCCAACCTGCATCTTACATGCAGCCCCCTTTTTACCTAATACTAATGCATTTAATCCAGCCAGTCAAGGACTTCTGAAATTCATTAAGCTGGAGCAGGTGTGGCAGATTGCAGTTTGAGCTAGACACAGCAGGAAGGAGCGTATCTAGGACCAGAGTTTGTGACCAGTGCTGTACTACACAAGAGCAACTATTGTGCTAGAAAAGATTCAATCTCAGCATGATGATACTCCAGGATGATGTAGCGTGATTGGCTGCAATGCTTTTGAAACTGTTGCAGTACCTCATGATGGCGGTACAGTGCGCAGTTTGAGGAAGCTAAAGCCGTTGAGGTTTTCAAGCCAAGGAAGTGCAAGGCTTTTTCTGATTGGCTTGTGGTGTTCAAAGTGTTTTTTCCCCCTCAATACATACACTAAAGCAAGAGTCATCAGCTCCAGCTTCTGGAGGGCAGCAATCCCACATAGTTTGGTGATTTCCCCTCTCGAACTAAACCAGGCAACTAACTGCTGAGTTAAATCTGGTACACACTTTTTTGAGCAATGCCATTGAGCAATGAAACATAGAACAACAACTGTCTATTGAAAGGTTCTTCAGGGAAGCAAAAGAGGTTTTTTTATGGCATCATGTAAGGAACACTTTTTGACATCTTTATTTTTGAGTATGTTTATTTTTGAGAATGTTTGTAAATCACCAAACTATGCTGGTCTCCAACCCTCCAGGATGACCTTCTCATTAAAGCTTGTAGGGAAAACTCAAATCTCTGCAGTTTTATTTTTTATTATATAGCTTAATGACTGAAGGTCAGACTTTCTAGCTGCATGATTAATCTACTGCCAACTATTTTTTTTTCAACCAAAAAGTATGACAGGAATGTTGGCTGGAAATCCCCTGTGCATTTCTACATTTTGTTGGGACTGTTCCCCTAGGCTTGCAAGATATGGAATGGCTCTGCAGAAGCGGCTGTTATCTTCAGCGCGTGAAAGAGAGAGGAAGTGCTAAAGGTTTCTTTCCTGTCTCTGTTGACCACAGGCTTTGGTCTGCTTTCACACGGTTTCATGAAGTGCACCACTTCTGCATGGAGCAGAGCAGATTTTGACTCATTCAGTGTATGAAATGAGACACACTAAAATGAATAAACCTGCAGTGTGCCACTTAACATAGCCTTAGTTTTCCAAATGTTTTGCAAGGATGAAATGTGAAATGTGTGGTTAAACAGCAACTTGATGTACAGATCAGTACAGAAAAAATGGAAATGTAACAGACTTTTTAGTATTTTTATATGTACAGGTAACCTAAACGATACAGTATTCTCTGTACAGTTACTGTATCACACCTTCTTTGTCTGAAATGTCTTTTGTTAAGAAAAAATACGACTCTATCCTCTGCCAACAGGGCCATTTCTGAATATCTGAGGCTCCTTATGGCTCTCACCCACTCCAATCGTATTAATCTTTATAAAAAAATGGAAAACATAGTAAAATGTTTAAAAACACCACATACTCGTGGAGTCCTCTGGTGCCTCGGGGGTCCCTAGCAACTCCTTTCAGCGTCAATAGCAAGAAACAGCCCTGTCTGCAATGGTAGCACAGTGACTTTGTACTGGAGCCTTGTTTTTTTTTTTTCTTTGCTTGCAGTTTAAAACCTGACCACCACTGTCTACCTACGCTGTTCTGCCAACAGTTGTTGTTGTACAAATGCCATTTCACACGATCAAAGACTTCTACCTCCACCCTGTACTCTGCCGTGTGCTTGCATGCGAAGTGTGTGCACATTTAATTTTTTTCCTTCAGTGGTTTCTTGATATAAAATAGTACACAAAGCACTTTGTATATCCAGTCTCTGTGGTGGAGTTGTTTTCCAGTGAGGCACTGTGCAATACAGCAGGTAGAAATAAAACAGATTGAGCATCAGTGTGGATTTGGTGTTTCATAATGGTCTATATAAGAGCTCGGGGTAGTACCAGTGTTAGAGCTCCATTAATCTTTTAAGCTTCCCGAAAGCGACATTTCTCCCGAAGGGCTTCGGTGGAAAGTTCAACACTTTCCACCAAATCAAATCAAGTTTACCGAGGCCTGAAATTCTTGGCTGGGGAGTCCCTGCTAATGCAGGAAATCATGCTCTTAAACCAGCACTAGAGAAAATGCTATATTGATGTTCATTACAGAAATTTGAATACATAGACAAACATGGATGTGTGACTTTTCCTCATTAGTTGACTCCTGACCTTTTTTGACCATGGCAGTCTAATGCTTGAGGGGAAACATGTATCTGTGAGTGGCCTTTAGTTATGGTTCAAATTGAATTAGTGTCATGTTGGATGTCATGTGATGGACTCTGCGTCTCAGAGAAGACTAAAATAATTTGGAGATGGAAAACGTGACTGATCGGGACATGTGAGGGAGAGAGTTCAAAAAGCCATCACTTTACCATCACACCATTGGCCACAATGACCCCTGTTAAAGTCAGACTGAAATCCTGCAAATTACCCTTTTTTTACTTTGTTAGTTCATTGCCATGTTATCCGTGGTTCATCTGATCATTTAAAGGACACTGGGCCTTATTCACCAATAACTACCCAAGTTTTTTCTTATATTTGTTCCTGAGAAAGGTCCTAAGAAGAAGTCTACACCAAATTCATGACATGTTAACTGCAAAATAGTTCACACAATTTTGCTCCTGAGTGTGTGTAATTCTGTTCTTACCTAAGAACAAATCCCATATAAGAAAACACTGGTGAATATCAGAATCTCCGTGAAAACTGCGCAAGTTGATTTTTAATAAGAAATTTCTTCTTAAGATTGGTCAGTGATCAAGGCCCAATATTCTTGTTTTCCTGTAATCTTCTATTAAATGTAATGACTCTCGCCACCTCTAAAATATCTAATGATTGTCTGACTCATCATGCACCAGTGGACATGAAAAAAAAATAATAAAGAAGAATGTTTTCCTGCAGGCCCGCCACAAACAGAAGCCAGTAGATCCCACCATCTAGCATCTGTCCCCTATGTTTTCACTCCTTTAGCAAGCAAATTAGCTATATTAGCTAAGTGCTAATTTTACAGCTAAAGCTTTCAAAGCCAAGCTGTCTGAAACAAATACTGATGTAGTCATATAGGGGTTTTACAAAAAGGCCACAAAGAGTTTGAAAACTAACTCTTTATTTCAATTTCACAGCTGAAAGCCATTACAGTGAAAATCCTGGTCCCAGTGTTCAAAAATTAGCAAAATGTACAAATGTAATGGTTTTGACATTGATAACAAAGCCTGCAGGATTAGAACAGTAATCAGTAATTCTGTAAACTTCTGATCAAATTTAAAACCGAAACAGCACAGAAACATGTAGACTTCATTAATAAACTTTTTCCAGAGTTTGTAACATGAAACTAATACTTCATTTGAGATCTAAATTCCAAAAAAAGTGCAAACAATAAAGAACAGCTCATTAAAAAAATGCATAGTTTAATAAGAAAAATGTACACAATAAGCTTTAGTATAAATTGATCACTGTAGATCAGTTTCTCTTTCCCTAAAGTTTAGTTCTGGCTTCTTTCTGCTTTCTCAATCAGTCTATAATCCAACAGCTCTGTAACCCTGCTCTCCCTTCATGTTTCTTTTAGGCTTTGGTAATGCAAACGACAATATTCCTCTGTTTATTTGGAAGGAGCGAATCCTACTTGGTCGTTGTCTCTGTCAAAGACTGTGTAATAGCGGCCAATGAAGACATCTCCCAGGATCCAAAGGGGACCAGCAGGGGGTGGCACATCCATCGCCATGAAACCAGACAGGCAGATGCTCACACCCATCTGGGTAGACTGAGAGAGAAATTAAAGAATGAGTGTTTGTTGGGTGAGGTGTTGATTTACAACACCTAAATGGACAAATGAAGACCTAAAAATATACACCTCAGAGCTAAAAACATGACCAGCCATCTTGAAGCCTGAATTTTGGCTCTAGCTTTGTCTATTTTTTCTAGATACAGTACATCATACAGTGTCAGAAACCGAAACATCAATCCCACTGATATTCTAATGATCTTTATCCTGTAATATACATGTATCCTGAGAACATCACCATTCTCTCATATTGTACCATCCATTTTAGAGGACTGCAAAGGGCAGTGGAGCTAACAGAGCATGTTACCTTCACAACATAGTCTTTTCCTGTCAGGTTGAACATCTTTCCTCCCAGACTGAGTGAAACAGTGGGGAGAGAGGGAATTTTTTTGCAATCAATCCAGTACTGCAGAAAGGAAGTAGAGACAAAAAATTAATTACTCATGCAACCATAATATCTACCAACTGTTCATGAACACTTCTTTAAAAAGCCAGATGCTGATGATGAATACAGTAAGAGAATGAAACAGTAGACATGTAAGTTTAAGCAGTATATTTGGTAGACTTTGACTATTCAAGTCTCTGTATTTGCAGGCTCAAAGTGAATGGGTGAGCAAAAGAGGTTCTTCTATTGGTACAAGCTTGTAATAATAGCAGAACCTTTTTGGTGCTATAACCCTGTTCAAAAACATTCTATATAGAACCATATAAAACACATTTCTCCATCAATATGAAGAACCCTTTCATTATGCAAAGAACCTTTTGATCATGCAAAGGGTGCTTTGAGTGTTCATAGTTCTATATAGAACCATTTTCTGTACCAAAAAACCTATGAAAGAATATTTTTAAGTGTGTACTCTTAGATCATGTAAACAATATATGGATTTTTCCCCCACAAACTATATT